GCCTTCGACGTTCTGAAGCGCCCCGTTGAATCCGCGCACGTGACGGATGTCTCCTCCTGGCTTCATTTCGACGAAGGCCTCTCGCGTTCCCATCAGATGATGGGAGCAGCCACTGTCGAGGAGAACCACAGTCGGATTCGCCTGCACGGCTGCTGCTACCGTCTGGAAGTCCTCACCTGCCTCCGGCGCCAGCAAAATTGTTGGGTCGACCACGCCAACCATCGAACAAGAGGCTTCCTTTCCGCTCGAGGTGCCAGTCTCTGATGTTGACGGCGTTTTCGACGACGCAGGCTTCTCCTTGCGCGGCTGGTTGTCTCGACGACGACGGTCGCTGTCAGACTTCCCGTCCTCTGAACGACGAGCGTTGTCAGACTTTCCACGACTTCCTCTCTGATCGTCGTCGGACTCGTCGCGGTCAGGGCAGTCGTACGAGAGATGGTCAGGGTCTCCGCAAATGTAGCAGCGGCGTCCTCCTCGACGCGAACCACTGCTTCCGCGATCATTGCCCTTCGCCGACTTTCCGCGGTCGGCGCTCTCCGTAGACTTGGTGTTCGACGACTTTCCGCCACCGCCTCCACCTCCGCCCGACTTCCCACGCTGCCCCGTCTGACGTCCCTGCTTCGTCGGAGCAACGTAGTTGGCCTGCGGAAGGAGCTCTGAAGACCGCTCAGACTCCTGCATGAACTCATCCTGGATGATGTGACTCGAGAGCGAATCCTCGTTCAGAGTCTTGCGTGTGCCAGGCATTATCAGCATCCGGCGCATCAGATTGTAGCTCGAGGGGAGGCCATTGATAACATGCGTGACATACGACGCCACCGAGTACTCGAAGCCAGCCATCCGCATGTCGGCCAAAATTCGCCGCGCTCGATTGCAGTACTCGGTCGCCGATTCCTGCTCGCCCATGCGAATGTTGGCCAATTTCTTCTCCAGTTGGCTGATGTAGAGGTCGTCGGTTGCTCTGTAGGTGCGCATGATGTACTGCCACGCTTGGTAGCCGGCGTCCGCTCGACGTCGGCACGGCTTCAGCGCGACTTGCACCAGCGGCGAACAACACCTCGAAAGGACCATGAAGGTCAGAAGGTGAGCAGCGCGAAATTCCGCCAACAACGCAGAGTCGTCTTCGTCTGGCATCTCCACCTTGCCGTCAACGAACTTCTTCAATCCGGCGATCTCCAACTGGGGTTCGATTGACTCAATCCATGTGATCAAGTCATGTCGTCCTTCGAGCGGCTTCGGCACAGCGATCTTGTCCGGCAAAAATTTGAAGTAGCCGTACGCAGGAGCGATGCCTCCGTCTCGACCAGCCGACGCATGAGTCGCCGAAGTCGGCCTGGCTCCACTCCGCTGAGGAGAAAGGCGTCGACCATCGATGTTGCCGTTCGAGCTTCCCGCTACCGCCGGATGCTGAACCCGCGCCTGCATTCCGCCGACGCCAAGGTCAGCGGCCCGAATCACTCCACGAACCCTCGTGCTGCCTTCGCTGCCGACTTGGTCACCACCGTCGACCTGGTCGTCGACGTCCCCTTCGTTGTGCGCCGGTCGAGGAGTGGCGGGCAGACCATCCGCCACAGTACGGGTCGTTGGATGATCGCGCGCCCACTGCACGCGGGTTCCAAAGAGCATAACATCCAAGTTCGCTCCGCCGTACTCGCCAGCTGCGTGGCGTGCCCGAACGTCATCTAACCGCGCCTGCAGGGTATCCTCTACGCCTGCAGCGACCTCCTCCTGGTCGACCATGGCGGTCTAGACGGCTGCCGGCCTACAACAACTTAGGTAATGAACGCTAAAGTCGGCTATTCTGAAGGTTTTAACGCGGGGCCGTTCCACGCTCACCGCACCATAAGGAGAATACTATTCTACGGGAGAGCTTGACTAGCGTGGGACACACAGTCAGAGTTCTGGCAGTGATTCTCAGGAGTGAACTTAGATGTCTTGGTAGAATTCAAGCATAGTTCCACTAGCAGAAATTGATTGAACAAGATTATGGTACAAGCAAGGAGAACCAAATAGCAAGAACAATGAACCCTAGAGAAACGTTCCTCGGCTAACACCTGACTTATCCGAGTCAGCAACGGCAGGTGAAACGACAAGCACATGTGTCTTTCACCTGAGTTGGCAGTTTCTCAGGTTTACAGCTTTCAGAGTTGTTTACGTTTTTACTGTTAGTAAAAACGTGTTTCAGGTTCAGTTTCCTTACTGATTCGAATTCTCCTGGGGAGTACAATTTCCGAAATTCTCTGATTGGTCGAAATTTGCTGTTTCGCGATTGGTCGAAATTCGCGCACATTGCGAATTTTGGAGACAAGTAATTTTGTCAACCAGCAACGCTCTGCTCGACGGTGCCTGTTTCGAGCTTAATTCTGTCGACCAGCGTTTCGTCGAAACGCTGTTTTCTACCATTTCGTCGACCCGCAAGGCTCGATTTCGACGCCGTTTTGCTCCCCTCGACAAGTGCCTCGTCGAGGGGCAGTTGTGTAGAGCAGAAACAGCACTTCAATTTCGACGAAGTAATTTCGTCGAAAATCGACCCGTCAGTCAGAGATAAAAGTCCCTGAAGTCGCCGATGACCATGAAACGAACACCGTTGTGCTCCGAAAAGCATGGCCGACTTCGCCCAAGCGAGGGCGGGGCCTTTTCTCCTCGACAATCACGTGTAAGCGGCGCGCAGTGGTGTTATCCACAGTGGCACGACGACGACGTTGAGTCGAGCTTGCAGGTACGGGGGCAGAGCCAGCCTGGCTGGTGGTTCCATTGGCTTGACCCTGTGGTGAAGCCATAGCTATAATCTCTGTTGGAATAACCTTGAATGAATGCTCTCTGTTTGTATACCGTCACGTTGGTGGAGATGAGAACTTGAGGAGTGATTTGGGTAGTGTGAACGTGCTTGGTTGGGGGAGCTCAGCGTCTGCGCGCCTCCGCCTGAATATCTTGACACCATCGAAACGTCATCGTGCCACGACGTATGCCACGTGGTGTTGTTTGCAGCGTGGTATTTGCTCCGAGCCCCATACGTGGATCTATTGGTGCACGAAGTATTCACGAGCGTCGCTGACGTCTCGTACGTGCATGGAACCACCCACGTTCACATCAAATTGTCGAGCCCAGCTTGTGTGTTTTTCACGCATATGTTCACATTTGTAGGTTCGAACATGGTTGAATGTGGAAATTCAACACCATTCGCGAAGGATATGGGCAAAATTTGCGAAATGAGTTACCACCCAAAGTTCGCCCCAATTTACGAACTTACAAAAAAATCATACACGTCGTTACCCTATTTCTTCGTCAAGATCGCGACTCCACCATTCCACAGAACTTGGGTTCGATGGCAGGCTGGCAGGGGGGAGGGTGGAGCACACTGCCCCTGCGCTGGGGTCACTTCACAATGCCCCCCTGGCTGTATCTGCGCTTCCTTCCACCCGAAATATCCGCGAAATCTGATGGGGGACGCAGTGCAGGTCAGGGAGGGACCCGCCAGGCAAGCCACAGATGCAGGCCTGACCAGCATTTCACGGGCGATGTCAGATTGCACAACTTATGTCCGCTGACTGCGGTATGCTTCGTTTTGTCACGGTGCAAAACGGTAAGCCATGAGAACCGCTTCCCACCGTGTGGAACCGTCCTGGGACACGATACAAGAACTGTACATGTGTGAGAAATGTGCAACCTGACGTCGCCCTAAACTGAGGAAAAATGGGGCTGAATGGGGGTGGTTGGTGAGTTGGGGCGGAGGAAAAATGGCTGCAGGGGAAACCACTCATTACCACTGGAACCCCTTTTGTCATGGTTTTGGTAAAATTCGGGTTTGCTCCAGTGATAATTTCTTGCCCTCCAGCAGTGTTCCCGTGTCACCACCAGTCGTGATTCCAGTTATGCGTCGAGGTATCAAACACAGCTTTTTCTGAAATCCGGGCAGATGAAATTCGATCTGCAGTGCAGCCCATCCGACAGTCGCCGTTGAGCGGGTGGAAGGCTAGACGCAGGAAGAAGTCTCGAGATTGCCATGACCAGCAGCGAACAGAAGCATGAAAACGTCGGCGATGTGCCATGGACATGGGATGAGAGCACCTGTACAGTAATCTCGCAAATGTTTCAGCCAAAGATTAGGCCAGTTCAAGCTGACTCCTTCAAAAAGCAAGTGGTAGGCCAGGCATAATCTATTCTTGCCCATGCGCATGGGATAAGTCTCGCACTTGTCGTCGCGTTCAAAAGCGTAATGTGATGAAGCGACATGGATCCGTCCGACATTTTGCCTCATGACCTTACGATGCCTCCAATGTAACATTGCACAAAGAAACGTCGGTCGCGTTGCATCGCGAATGAGCCGTAGCTAAGCAAGGAGCGCTAGCTAACGAGAGAGCCGCTTTTCCTGCATGGTGTGGATTGAAGGATTGTACTTGGCGATGCGTAAGACAGGGCGAGCTTCAATGTCGCCTGTCGCCAGAACGTTTTCGATCAGAACGTTGCCTGTCGCCATGATTCTGGGGTTGTAGAGGCTTACAGCACGCCGCGTACAGCTAGGGTTTTTTTTTTTTGTTCCTGTGATCTCCATCGTAGTGTAGTTTCCTGTACAAACAGATACGATATAAATTAGAATGGATTCGGACGCCATGGACGTAGACATGGACGATAGCGGTTCCCCACGCGCCGGCACCGGAAATACGTCTTTAAGAGACGGTGAATCAACTCCACCAGCAGTGAGAAGTCCGTCTTCTGTGGCCGAACTTTCTCCACCGGATCCCATCCCTCTTTCACCCACCCAACCCACCCATCTTCCATCTACCCAATCCGTCCAGTCGGCCCAGCCCACCCTAGCCACCCCTCCGACCGGCATTCCAACCCATCCATCCCCCTCGATACAGCCACCGACCGAACCATCACCCCCTGTACCGTCTGCTACAGTACCATCCGCTACAGTCACCTCAGCAAATGCACCAAGTACGGCATTACGCTCCCCCTCGATACCCTCCCCATCAGCCCCCATGTCCCGGTCCCCGGGAATGGCCTCACCCGGGGGATACTCCTCCGGCAATCCCTCGGGAATTAATTCCCCCAGCGTACATTCCGGAGTTAAGCGGCTTTCCGAAGAGGATCGCCAACGGCTAGCTAATATGCTGCGCGCGCTGCAGCTGCAACAGCAAGCGCACGCGGAAGCGCAGCCTCCCGCACCGGCGGAAGGCGGTGCGGAACGGCCCGCGGAAGCTGGAGAGGAGAGGAGCGCGGACATGGCGGTGGATGCGCCGGCGTGCGCGCAGGCGGGGGAGAGGGAGCGGCAGGGGCGGGATATGGCGGGGGCGAATGGGGAAGCAGGGGGAACGTGGAGCGAATCGCCGTCGTCGCCTCCTCCTGGGGGCGCCATGAGGTGCGGTTAGCGGGGCGGCCCGAGCGGGGGCCCGAGCGGGGGCCCGAGCGGGGGCCCGAGCGGGGGGGCAAGAGAGGAGAGGCAAGAGAGGAGAGGCGAGATGCGAGGTGAGAGGGAGAGGCGAGAGAGGGGAAGTGTGGGAAGAGGTGTTGGCGGGTTATGAGGAGAGGCTTGAGAGGAGGCATGTAGGGAGGCCCAAGGTGTGGCATGGGAGGTTGGGGAGAATGTGAGGGGAGAATTATAAGGAGACGTGTGGGGAGAGGCTTGGGAGAAAGTGCGGGCAGAGGTGTGGGGAGAGATATGGGGAGCGGTATGTGGAGACGTGTTGGGGGGTATCGTGAGTAGAGGCTCGAGAGGAGGCATGAAGGGAAGGCTGAGCTGAGGCAAGGGGGGAAAGGGTGGAGGCTAAGGGAAAAGGTGTGAGGGCAGGTTTAGGGCTGAGAGGGGCCGTGAGGGGAGAATGTGAGGATGGTTGTGGATACGCATGGTGCGAGGAATGAGAGGCGGCACTCGTGAAGAAATGAGGGAAAGAGTATTGGTTGGATTTTTGAGTCAGGAAAAACGACATTTGGGTTGCCTCAGAAGTTGTATGGGGTCTGTGTGAGGGCAGAAGGTGCGAAGAATAAGGATGAGAAGAGAGAAAGAGACCCACTCAGGCGCCTTAGGGCCTCTGGCGACTCTGGAGGGAGATGGCGGACCTCTTCTTTGTGCTGCGCCCTTCTATTCATATGCCCTCCCTCCTCCCTCCCCATTCCCATGGAAACAACAGCCGTAAAGACATTCTAGAAATAGTGCGCAAGCACTCGGGCGCGTTGGTGTGGCCGGCAGCGTCGCAGGACGGGGCGGGAGCGGAGGCGGCACAGACAGCATTGATGATGGACCGGCAGTACTGGCGGTACTGGAGAGAAATGATGGACCTTTTCTTTGAGCTGGGCCCTTTTATTCATATGCTCTCTCTCCTCCCTGTCCCCTTTCCCCATGGAAACACCAGTCGCAAAGATATTTTGGAGATAGTACGGAAGCATTCAGGCGCGCTGGTGCGGCCGGCGGCGTCGAGGGACGGGGCGGGAGCGGAGGCGGCGCAGACAGCGCTGATGATGGACCGGCAGTACTGGCGGGAGATGGCGGACCTCTTCTTTGTGCGCGGCGTGCAGCTGCGGGGGGATGCTACTCAAGACGGGTCGTTCCGGGATGTTGTTTTCTTTGTGAGAGATGAGGTGCGTTTGCAGTGGCTTGAGGTGGGATGGAGGTGAGGTGGGATGGAGGTGAGGTGGGATGGAGGTGAGGTGGGATGGAGGTGAGGTGGGATGGAGGTGAGGTGGGCTAGGGGTGAGGTGGGATGGATGTGAGGTGGTTGGGGGCACAGACAGCGCTGATGATAGACCGGCAGTACTGGCGGGAGATGGCGGACCTCTTCTTTGTGCGCGGCGTGCAGCTGAGGGGTGACGCCACTCAGGACGGGTCCTTCCGGGATGTGGTGTTCTTTGTCAGAGGTGGGTGTGTAGTGTGTAGAAGTGTTGAGGTGGTACTGGAGTGGTTTGAGACAAAGAGTAATGTGTTGGAGGCGAGGTGCGTGGGAGTTGAGGTGCGCCTACTGTGGTGTGAGGTGACATGACACCGTGGCATGGCGTTGTTTTGTTTCCAAGGTTGCTGCCATGTTGCTCCCATTCGCCCAGCCCTCCCGCTCGTCCATCCCTCTCACTCTCACCCGCACATCCATCCCACTCACCCATCCCGCTCACCTATCCCTCTCACACGCCCATCCATCCCACTCACCCATCCCGCTCACCTATCCCTCTCACACGCCCATCCATCCCACTCACCCATCCCGCTCACCTATCCCTCTCACCCGCACATCCATCCCACTCACCCATCCCGCTCACCTATCCCTCTCACACGCCCATCCATCCCACTCACCCATCCCGCTCACCTATCCCTCTCACACGCCCATCCATCCCACTCACCCATCCCGCTCACCTATCCCTCTCACACGCCCATCCCTCCCACCCATCCCCCCCACCCTTCTCCCGTGCAGTCGCCTGCAGCAACACCCCGTCAGGCAGACGGGGGGCCTGAGGGCACAGGGGGCATGGCTGGCAGGGAGGAGGGTATGGAGGCAGTGGAGAGACGGCGGCCCTACTTCGCCAGGCGTAGGCAGAGCAGTGTGAGTGCGCTGTGGTCGTGGCTGCTAGAGTTGTGAAACGTTGGTGGCTAGGGTACGGTTGTCACCATGGCTGTGATCTGGCTCTGCCATGCCTATGTTTGCCATGCCAATGTCTGCCATGCCTATGTTTGCCATGCCTATGTCTGCCATGCCTATGTTTGCCATGCCAATGTCTGCCATGCCTATGTTTGCCATGCCAATGTCTGCCATGCCTATGTTTGCCATGCCTATGTCTGCCATGCCTACCTACCATGCCTGCCTGCCTGCCACAGCCTACCATGCCTGTCCGACTCACTTCTCTCCTCCATTCACGCGGGTTTTCTGCACCACTCTGCACCCCTCCACACCCCTCCGTATTGCTGTTCACATGACAACAGCTGAGGGAGATTCTGGGCGGCAGTGGGGAGAGCATAGACTGGCGGAGGACCTTCTATCTGAACCTCATCTGCCACACCGACTACTCCCTCACCATTGCCGTCTGCAGGTCTGCTTCTCCCCCTCATGCTGTGTGTGGGTGGGTGGGATGTGTGGGGATGGGCGGGTGGTGTGCTGTGCAGGTGGGCTGTGCGGGGGTGGGCTTTGTGGGTGTGAGCTGAGTGGGGTTGTACAAGTGAGTAATGGATGCAGGTACCAAATGCACGTGTATGTGCAAGCACACTGTTCAACACGCACCCTCCTCCCCACAATTCACCTGTCTTCACACCGATGCCCTTCTTCTCTCCGTGCCCCTGCCTTCCCACTCTCTCCCCACGCCAGTCGCACAGCCCTGGAGAACCAGAAGCGCTCAGGACGAGCCGTGCCGCCTATAATGAAGGTACTGTGTGCCTTCCCTTTCCCCCCATCTTGCTCCCCTTCATGACTCATCCTCCTCCTCCCATCCAACCCCCCACAAATCCCCTGCTCCCCCTCCCATGCACCCCTTTTTCCTTGCCATCCGTTCGCCCCATCACTGCATCCCCCCATGCCATATCCCCATCCCATCCACACATGCCATCCACACATACCATCCCCTCATGCCATCCCCCATGCCATCCCCCATGCCATCCCCCATGCCATCCTTCCCCCCACCAGGTGACGAGGAGAGCATACGCCTCCCCCAGTAGAGCCCTCATTGACACGAGCCTCCCTCTGCCTCCGTCAACATCCCAGGCAAGTGGGGCTTGTAGTGGGGGCAGCGTGCATGCAGGCGAGTCACTCTTTCTGGCACTGATGGCGTGTTGGCACACGAGCACAGACAGCACACAGCGGCTCACTGCAGCACATGCAGGGCCCCTCAATCCTCTCGCCTCCGGTGCCCCAACAAAGCCACGCCCACCATTTCCTCTGCTACAAACAAATTCTCGCTGCAGTGCACACACATGTGGAGGATGCACGCCGTGCATCCTGCTCCCCTCCCCATATCCTCCCGATCCCCCCAGCAGGACCCGGAGGTGACAGAGGCGTATCCCAACATCTGCTTCGCCATTGACTCCTCTGACCGCGCCTTTGAGTCCGTGGTGTGTTCTGTTAGGTTTCCTATGGTATGCTTCGTTAAACCTCCCCCACCGCTTTCCCCCCCACTCCCCCCGTCCCCCCTTCCCCTCCTCCAGCAGGACCCAGAGGTGACAGAGGCGTATCCCAACATCTGCTTCGCCATTGACTCCTCTGACCACGCCTTTGAGTCAGTGTTGTATTCTGTTAGGATTCATGTGCCATCCCTTGCTAACCTCCCCCACCGCTTCCCACCCCACCTCCACCCCACCTCCACCCCACCACTTCCCCCACACCACACCCCCCAGCAGGACCCGGAGGTGACGGAGGCGTATCCCAACATCTGCTTCGCCATCGACTCCTCTGACCGCGCCTTTGAGTCCGTGGTGGGTTCCCTTGGGATCTCTGTGCCCCTTGCGCCATGCTCCATGCGCCATGCGCCATGCTCCATGCTCCATGCGCCATGCGCCATGCTCCATGCGCCATGCTCCATGCTCCATGCGCCATGCGCCATGCGCAACGCACCATACCCCGTGCCCCATGCTCCATGTTCCATGCCGCACACCTCATGCCTAATGCTCCATGCGCCATGCTACATGCCCCATACCCCATCCCCCTCTCTCCTCCTCTCTCAGGTGCTCAAGGGCAGCGACCACTGCTTCTGTGTGCTGCTGAGCGCGCACAGGGGGGCGGCCTTCCCCGCCCAGGACACCGTTGAGAAGACCCTCGCAGATGGCCAGCGCCGCGTGCTGCAGCGTGGCACCAGCAACGAGGCCAAAGTGCTGGGGGAGGCGTCAGGGGACGGGCCCAAGGTGAGAGGACAAGGGGAGGGGAAAGGGAGTTGGGACGAGAGAAGGTTAAGGGAGGGGGAAGACCCTCGCTGACGGCCAGCGCCGCGTGCTGCAGCGCGGCACTAGAAACGAGGCCAAAGTGCTGGGGGAGGCTTCGGGGGACGCTAAGTTGAGGGCGGGATGGGGAGGTGGGGAGGGGGGGTCGGATGAGAGGGTTGCGGAAGGGGGAAGACCCTCGCGGATGGGCAGTGCCGCGTGTTGCAGCGTGGCACCAGCAACGAGGCCAAAGTCCTGGGGGAGGCGTCAGGGGACGGGCCCAAGGTGGGGAATGGGGGGCTGGTTCTATGTGCCTTCCCCGCACAGGACACCGTTGAGAAGACCCTCGCTGACGGCCAGCGCCGCGTGCTGCAGTGCGGCACTAGAAATGAGGCCAAAGTGCTGGGGGAGGCTTCAGGGGACGGGCCTAAGGTCGTGTTCAGGGAAGGTGATGTGAGAGGTAATAGAATGCTCACAGGGAAGGAAATGTGTCGCTCTCTGAATGCTGTCTGTGGTTGCTTTCACATGCTTTGAGCCATGCCACATGCCATTCCATATTCAATGCCATGCCTCATGCCACATGTCGTGCCATGCCTCATGCCACCTGTCATGCCATGGCCCATGCTCTGGCAGATTACACTCTTCTCGGGCTTTGTGAGCTACCCCATGCTCAAGACCTCCTTCCAAGGTACACTCCGCGAGTTTCGAGATTTCCAGATTTCCAGATTTTGGATGTCAAGTCTCCAGAGTTTTTTTTTATGTGGTTGTTGTTCTGCATCCCCATCCCCTTGCTAGCACATGCACCATGCTACCTCACAGCACCGTTTCCCACCACCCTCCACTTCCCTTCAACCCCCTTGCCGTGCAGGTCTCTTCTCCATGTTTGGATCCACGTCCCCATCCCCAATGAAACCAGCCGGGCTGGTTCTCCGCGGCCCGGGGGGCAAAGGAGCCGCCAACCTCGCAGTCTGCCCCCTCCCCCTCCCCCCACTCCCCCCAAAACCCCCTCTCTCCCCCCGCCCGCCCCTCGCCCCCAAACCCCCTCTCTCACCCCGCCACCCCTCTCAGACCCACCTCTCTCGCCCTTCCCACTCTTCTCATTCTCAGCCCTCCTCTCGGTTTCAACTCCCACCATCGCAGCAGCCTCTTTCCCCATCGGCCCGCTCCCAACACGCCCCTTCTTCCCTCTCCTCGCCCACCCATCCCCACTCCCCCCCACCGCAACAATCACCCACTCACCCCTCTCGCCTGTCTCCAACCAGCCCCCCCCAGCCATCACCCACCAGCCCATTACACTCCAACCGCCCCTCACCGCCCAGTAACCCTCCAAACTCCAACCACTCACCATCGGCAAATTACTCATCCTCATCCGGCCATCCGGTGCAATCTGGCCGTCCGTCCAGCCTTTCCATGCAATCCAGCCGTCCATCTCGGCCGTTGCATCGGCGCATGCCGTCGCTGCAGGAGCTGCAGAGCAAGCTGTGGGCAGTGCAGGCAGAGCTCATGGACCTCCTCGAGTTAGAGGCCCAATCCGCTGCCAACGCTGTCGCCGCCGCCGCCGCCGCCGCTGCTGCTGCCACTGCCTCTGCTGGTGGTGGTGGGGGTGATGGTGGTGGTGGTGGTGGTGGTGGTGATGGTGCATCCAAAGCTGCAAGTACGGATGGAGCCGGCGCCACCGCTGCTGGTTGTCGAGATGGTGACGGGGACAGCATGATGCAAGAGGAGGGCAAGCTCTCAGCAGAGCGGGATTCTGCTGTCCTTGATTCCGCTGCCTCTGCTGCTGCTCCTCCTGCAGCTGATGTTGCTGGTGCTGATGCTGATGCTGATGGAATACAGACAGAAGGATGCGAAACAGATTCAGCAGCAATGGCAGCACCATCAACCACTCCCTCTCCTCCCCTCCCCATTCCCCCTCCCCCTCCCGCCTCCCACTCCCCGCCCTCCCCATCCCCGCCCTCTCCCTCCCCAACCACTCCCCTCCCGCCAGCACGCACCTTCCACCAGCAAATCCCCTCCTCCCTTCCCCCGGCCAAGCCTGCAAAGGAGGAGGCACGGAGACTGCGGCTGCTGGAGCTACAGGGGGAGCTGCGGCTGGTGCAGGAACAGCTGCAGATGCTGCAGTCTCAGAGCAAGGGCAAGCGCCCGCACCCCGCCGACCACCACTACCGGCAGCGGCCCCCTCCGTCCCAATCCATGCAGGCGTCTCGGAGTAAAGCAAGAAACCCTAGTGCTGCTGGTGCTGCTGCTGATAGCAGTGGCGCGAGAGGCAGTGGCAACGGTGGTGGGGATGAAGGAGAGTGTGGGGAAGGCAAGGACGAAGGGCGGGAGGGGAGTGAGAGCGGTGGCGGGTCGTCGAGGCTGTTGCAGCGGCCGGTAGCGGCTGCCCCTAGAAGAGCCATGGTGCACCAGGACGGAGACAGCCCCACTGCCAGGCTCCCACATGGCCACACTGCTTCAGGTGGATCCTCAGGAGAATCACCTGAAGGTTCACCTGGTGCACGTGGCTCAGGTGGTGGCGGCAGAGCAGGGAGCAGCAGAGCAGGTGGCAGCAGCCGTTCCCCTGGATCTGCTGGTGGTGGCAGTGCCAGTGCCGGTGGTCTTGCTGCGTCCTTGCTACAAGGAGGGATTGGTAGAGCAGCAGGAGGAGGAGGGCTGGTGAGAGAGGAGCCCCTTCGCTGCTGCCTGGCTTCCCTCTCCCTCCCCTGGGAGTCGCTCGCCTTTGACCTCCTCTTCAAGGTACCTACCCCCTCCTTCACGTGCTCAGTCCTTCACCTGCTAGTCCTTCACCTGCTTAGTCCTTCACCTGCTCAGTCCGCAACTGTGACTTTGGCCTGTGACCGCCTTTGATTTCCCCTCCCTGTTCTTCTCTGTGTTCTTGTTCCCGAACTTCGTCTCCGCTACCATGCCTCCCTAGTTTAGTTTTCTCCTGGGTCTCTGTGTTTGGTCCTAACTGTGTTTATTTCCATCCTGTGCCTTGTGTCTTGCAGGAAATGCCTGTTAAGGTGGACATTGGTGGTCGGATATTCCCTCCTCCTCGAAATCCTCCCAGTGCAGAAGACTTTTGAGCAGATTCTGGTTGCCACGGCTTTCCGAATCTCATCGTGGTGGGTTGAATTCTTGCACTGAGTGGAATATGCATTTTGCATACCATGACGACCTGGTTCCGTTAGCGTAATGTGTGTACACTTAGTCACCATACAATAGTTAGTGTGGTCACAGAGATCTCGAGATATTCCTAAGAGTACATGCCATGTTTATGAGTTGCATTTGGCTTCTACATCTATATCAGACATACTTACCGGTGCCTACATTGAGCCAGACTAGATGCAATAACCTACATGCAGTGGTGTAGTGCAGTACTGTATGTGTGGAGTTCGGGATCAATAGACTTTCGAGTGTACCGTATATAAAAATTATTGGCGAGCTACTAGTGATTTTCTCAACCATCTTGAAGTGCTGATGTGATCAGTTGGGGGGTGGCTGCCTGCATCACTTGCGTCTAAAAGTGACTCTTCTACACGATTAAAAGCAACTCGTTATTAAAGTCAGTCCCGACGATACCTAGGCGCAACAATAGCGGAGACCGCAAAATCTGATGGTATCGAGCGTAGGAGCACCGTCCGATTAGAGAGCCGAATTAACGGTCCGATCGCAACCAGCGCTGACATCTCCTCTGGTGCTGCTGATGCGGCGCTGACGTTCCCAGAGTCGTCGTCAACCGACGAAACCCTCATCGTTCCCGCCACAGACTACATCAAACACCGAACGAACCCTGACGGAAGCATTTTGAAGTAGCATTTTCGAGAACAGAAACCGTCAGTCGTAGTGCGACAGCGTCGTCAGGGTTTGCTCGATGGCAGGTCTAGCACAGAGCGAGTCTAGCACCAGAGTTCTTGGAGACCCTGTTGGGTCTGAGGGCAGGTCTCTGGATGAGGTCTTGCTCTACAACTCCCTTCAAGTCGGCCATGAAGTATACGAAGTGGTAGGCCTTTGCTTTCCTTAGCCTAGGAGCCTTATGGAGTTATCCTAATACGTTGACAGCTAATATTTGTTCTTCCGTCTTTCCAGGGAGACTCGGTTTTATTGAGGTGTTGCCGTTCTGAGTGTGATGTCGTCTTCATTCGTGTAAGTTGTCTCTGCATAGATCTTTCCTCTTCATAGTTCATTTGCCCGCCACATTGGAGCGTACTTCTTATGAACTTACGCCGTTGTTATTAATCCTGTGCAGCAAATCAGGGTCAACCCCGATGGTGGTCTCGAAGTGAAAGGACAATGGCTTTATCGGGAGCAACTTCTTCCATTCTCACAAGAGCATGGAAGGAGCTCGGTTGAAGCCAGAGCAACCACTACGGATGAACTTTTCGGAAACAGCAAAAGGACATCTGTGCCGTCGGATCCACGTCGACTGTTTTATTCCTTCCACTATGAGTCCTTCGTTCCCGAGACAATAGTACGGAAGTGCAGCGTCGTTATTATCCCGCCTTCCAAAGCTCTGCCTTCAACAAGTGAGCTTTCGGATTTTGTGGTGTCACATGTCTATGATGTTCAAGGTCACCGTCTGCTGACTGTGACCGACAAGTCCCTTCCCAGGGAACATCATGACGAGCTTGCGACAGCGCTTGCGCGGTCCAAGGAGAAATGGGAGTCGTACATGGAGCATCCGCCCAGAGAGCTTCAAGAGAGCAATAAGGTCAACCTTGTGTGTTCAAGTTCAAACAAGCGCTCTGCTAAGTGCTCCGAGCTGAGCTGGAACGTTCCTGGTTCCAAGCGTCGCAAGCTGTCGACTGAAGGCAAGTGTTTGGCGGTTGCCGGCGGTCTTATCAGATGCGAGCAAGCTGCTAAAGAGAGTGAGGCGGACGAGAACGTTTCGGCCTTATTGGGATGTCCGGACGGAGACTGTTCATATTGTAGTGGAAGAAGCGGGTGTGAGTGGGATCAAGGAACGCCCCCGTGGACTTCGGAATCGCCATTGTGTCCGGTTGAAGCTCCTGAAGACCACTCTTCCGTCAGCGGTGGTTGCTGCAAACCTTCACTGCCAGTTCCCTCGGTGACAGATCACCTTTCGCATGTGGACACGTATTTGGAAGTTTGCGATAAAGCAGATGCTGGGTGCAGTATCACGGCAAGCACCGTTGACTTTCGTACTGGTGCAACTGGACTTGCCGAAGACCCCGAAGGTTTTCTGGAGGCAGTTGAGGTCCACGATTTTGATGAGAAGTTGGCGGAGCAGTCAACCTCTCCCGTTGATGTTCAACATCTGGTAAGCTGTCATGTTCGAAATTTCAATGGCGTTTCCGTTTTGCACGTGTGTAATATCTATTTTAACACAATACTTTTGGTTGCGCCTGTTTTTATTGCTCATTGTTAACCCCTTTTTCGTACCGTCCAGGTGGAACTCCTTTGCCCTAACTGCGGTGTCTGCGGAACCGTTCCTAATTCCCCTTCGGAAAATTCTTCTAATGAGATAGAAGAGCACAAGGTTCGTGTCTAGTTTATTGCCGATTCATTTACTCCCCCGTTAATTTCTGCTCACGTTGATGATCTCACTCGTCGTGAGTACTAACACTTCTGGCTGTTCGTCGTTTGTTTCAGCTGGAATGTACGACATGTGGGCACTCCTGGTTTTCACTCCTCGATTCAGGGAACGTCGCGGATGCAGGCCATGACGATCTGGAGTTTCACGGCCTGGAATGTCAAGAGGAAAGTAATGCGGTCGGGAGTGAAAGCGATGCAGATGATGAAAATGACCCTCTTCTTTTCATCAAACGTCTTCCGCTGCTCACGTATGCGATTCCGGAAAAGCGTCCTTGCATCTTGCCTCCGCGAAAAGCAGATGCGCCTCCTGTTACGCTGGTCCTAGATCTTGATGGTAAGCATTTGTCTCTCTGTTCTGTTGGGCTTCTGCTTTTTATTCTCACTCCTGATGTCTGTGTTGTGTTCCTGTTACAGAGACATTGGTGCATTCGACAATGGACTTTTGCCCATTCTCTGATTTCATCTTCCCAGTCTTGCTAAACAGCCATACGCATATGGTTCATGTCCGCAAGCGCCCCCATGTAGAGACTTTTCTGCAGAAGGTAGCTGAGCTGTTCGAGGTTGTGGTCTTCACAGCCAGCCAAGGCATTTATGCAGATAAGTTGCTCGATATAATCGATCCCAAGACGGAGCTCGTTCAGCACAGGATCTTCAGAGAGTCCTGTGTCTATATTGAAGGGAACTATGTCAAGGACCTGTCTGTTCTTGGCAGAGACCTTGCAAAAGTGGTCATCGTTGACAATTCACCTCAGGTAATTTATTTTATGTCTTCCAAGTATCCACTTCTGTTTTCTTGTGTTTTGTGCAGGCTCCTCACATGTTTCAGTGCATCTGTGCAGGCTTTTGGATTACAAGTGGACAATGGTATCCCTATTGAGGCATGGTTTGATGATGACAAGGACTGCGAGCTGCAGTTGCTTCTCCCATTTTTGGAGACCCTGGCGAGGGCAGATGATGTGAGGCCACACATCACTGAGAGATTCAAGCTTCAGGAGAGAATAAACAAGCTCCCTAACTGACTTTTCGGGGAGATGTGGTACTGACCTTCCTAACCCCCCAACATCACTGATGTTGTGTTGGGCAAGTGCACAGTACTAATATCTAATCTAGCTTATGCTTGTCCATGTTATGCTTCATGTACTGTTTTAATTTCTAATAGTCTCATCTATCTAATCAGACTTCAGCTAGAGTATCCTCCAAGTTTTGAGATGTTCGTTTCACAAGACTACTCAATTCAGCCACTTGTTCCCTGCACTCTTGCAAAGCAACTTGTTTTCTCTTCAAATCCTCCTCGAGTGCCGTGACTTCCTGCACGACATCAGGTCACTAGTCGATTAGCTCAAGGCTCACGCAATGAACAAGCTCCTGCAGCCAAGATCTTACCCTGGATAGTGCTGCTTGAGGATCAGCCAAGTGCTGCGCTCGAAGTCTTGTGAAACAACGCTCAAGATTACACGCCGTCTCAAGGAATTGATGAGCTCGGATGTCAAGATCCACTGCAAGTGGGAATGACAACGTGCCGCAGAAAGGGACGTGAGCTGAATTCTAATGTTTCCAAAATAACGGCCATAAATGTCAAAACAAATCGATTATTCGCTGTTCATCGGGCGTCTTCCATGGATTACGCGTTTCACGCTGGTCCAATTACCTGAATCAGCCACATTTGCTCTGTCAGTTGCCTGGAGCTCTCCAGCAGGAAGGAGGGCTAGCAGATGCGCATCTAGAGTATCGAGCATGCGGAGCGCATGAGCTACATCCATTTTGAACGTTAGCGCGCTGAAACGCACGCAGCGCAAATGACAATGTGTGACCGCATGAGACGCTGAGAGAATCCTGGAGCAAGCTAAGAGATCATGAAAGCAAGCTAACAGAACCGCATTGATGTGAGGCGTGGAAAGTTGGTGCAGCCGGACAATCCCAGCTGAACGAACCAGCTTGTACGCGTTTCTAGCATGTCTCATTCATCAATCTGTTGTCTAATGTACGCAGGGTAGCATACAACTTCCCCGACTAAAGAAGCAACTCAATCTGATTCTTCACATTTCCTTGTTTCTCCTGAACCAAACCAGGCACACTACCACTATCCCAAACAGCCTCCGCAAGTAGGCTTCTGCTGTGAGCGTGAGCCAGCGCGTTTCACGGCTGATCACTGCTTCAGCGGCTATCCTGCTGTGCTCGTCACTCAACTAAGGTTGACGTAAAAAATGGCTTCGCTTGCGAGCACCGTCGCGCTGGCGCCGAATGCGGCTCTGTGTCGCTCAGACCTCTGCGGGGGGCGTCATGAGGCTTCACTGAAGAGCAGGCAGCTGTTAGGAACTGGCTTCTCAACGTCCGTCGCACAAGGCGAGCTCACCATGCTGCTTCTTGTGCATTTTTTAACGGTCCACGGCAATCTGTATTATTCCACTTTGTCCCGCTTCATGATGTTTTCCTTTCAATGTGGCGTTACAGGTCTGTCGGCTGAAGGAATTGCGGTTCAGGTGTCGTCGCTTTCCAGAAGAGCGACGACTCTCAGACGGCAAGGAGCCACGAGATGCGGATATGCAGTTAAAGAGTCGCGGGGCGGAATCGCAGGCGAGGGCTTTCGTTTTGGGGTGGTAAGCTTGAAAGGTTCAGTTTAGGGACAAGTTAAGGACCAATGGGACCTCGAATACCACGCGGACGTTGATCTTATTCGCGCTATATTCTCACAACTCAATACTCGCCGGAGAGGTTTTTAAAGGGTTTACGATCTCACAGGCGCAGTCTTGGTTTTCCAAGTCAGCTCGCCTCTCTCACATTTTATTCTCTCCCTGTTGCTTGCTCCCTCCCTCGGATCCTCCCATATCTCGCATCCCGCTTTATCAGGTGGTGTCCAAGTTTAACGAGATTGTAACGAAGCCTCTATTGTCGGGGGCGATTGACACGTTCAGGCGGCATGGCGTGGACAAGGACCACATTGAGGTGGCGTGGGTGCCGGGCAGCTTCGAAATTCCCCTCGTGGCACAAGAGATGGCCAAGTCGGGCAACTTTGACGCTGTGCTCTGCATTGGCGCTGTGGTCAGTGATCTCAACCTCGTGTACGCTTCTAACTTTGTTTCGGTTCATTCACCCATGACTCGGCACATTGCACTCATCCAATTTGTGGTCAGCCCTGCTAGTGCCAGCCAGCTTTGCTGCTGTGGCCTGCTGAGCAGATTCCAGAGTTGTCTGGTTCCAATGCTGCGTCTCTTTCCAGTAGTCACACGCTCACTTGCTCCCTCGCCATCCCCACCATCTCCACTATCCCGGCCATCCTTGCCTCAGGTGCGGGGCTCCACCACTCATTATGATGCTGTTGCGAACAACGCAGCCAGTGGCGTCCTGAGTGCTGGTCTCAACTCAGGTGAGGATGGAAAGTGAAACCACATTCAGGATTGGTGGTTTTGTTATTGTATTTATTCGCTAGTTCTGCGATGTGATGAGGTATCCAGAGCTTTGCATCGCTCAAAGGTACCTCTTATAGCTCAACCTCCCTTCCTACCCCCTCTCTCCTCCTCTCTCTTCTTTGTCGCTCTCTCCGTCACTCTCTCCACAGGCATTCCATGCGTCTTTGGGGTTCTCACGTGCGAGACAATGGAGCAGGTACAAGTTTCGTGTCTTTGTGCTTGTTTGTTTTCCATCCACACTTGCATGTGCTCCCAGCACCTGCTCATGCATACGCCCAGTTGCAAAGTATCACTCTCTCATTCACACCTGTTGTTGCCTGATCGCACATGAGTTGTGCTTATCTCATGCGTGCAATCCTTTACACCTATCATCCTCAGGCGATGGACAGGGCAGGAGGCAAGCTTGGCAACAAGGGAGCAGAGGCCGCCGTCACAGCAGTACGTGTATTGGCATGCGTGCATTCATGTACACTTTCAGGATCTGAGTACGAATGAACAGCAGTACGTGTATTGGCATGCGTGCATTCATGTACACTTTCAGGATCTGAGTACGAATGAAGCGCAACCATCACCTCCTTGAATTCCGTATGCAGTAGTTGCATGAACGATGCATGCAGCCCCTTCCCTGGCTCAATATCTGTGTCTTTCGCAATTCCTTGTCACTGCTCGATTTGTTGACTTGCAGATTGAGATGGCTAGCTTAATGGCAATGCTGCGTGCCTCTGGCTCTGCTGCCCTTGAAGCCCCCGAGTGAAAGTGGCCACTTCCTGAATGAAGCTTCAGCAGATCCTTCCCTTGAAGTTGTTGATTGCAGTTTGCACGGTTGGTGCCAGTGGCGCTGCACCACTGGAACGGGCAGAGTCTGCAAGAGTGCTACTTGCTTGTACTTGCTCATTTTTGTGGCCCACATCAATTTTGTAGGCTTCTTGGGCATCTAGATTGGAGTCAACAGGTTCCTCATGACATAGGGGATAGCACACTCAAAAGAGTGGTCTAGTATGATCAGCCATAAAAGACTTCCTTAGCAGTAATTAGTACACAATCAAACTGAAACAAACTAGCGCTAGAGTATAGGGAGGAGGAAGCCGCGGAGGCAACCAACCTGGTGTATATGGTGATAACCCTTGAACCAGAAATAATAAGAAATGCTACCAAGCTAATGTAGTTAAAACATATCTTCGACCACGCATGGCAGCGGCGCACCTACGCTCGGATGGCACCACCTGGAGCAGGGACCACCGATGAAGTTGCCCTCACCACCACACGACCTTGGCTGCACGGCCACATCGCACGCGCACACGACTCCATCCCCGACATAAACCGAAATCCGCTAGCAGCAGCACCTGGACCGGACGATGTAACGGGGAGGACATGAACCGCCCTCAGGTCCTTGATCGAGTCCTCCATGTACCCCTGAACGTCCACCTTCACAGCGGCGCGCTGCACTTCCCCCTTCACCTGAAGCTGCCCTTGCTGCGTCACTTCCACCTCCACCATACCGCCTTCCGCGCTTCCCAGCGCCGCCTTGTCTCCGCTACTGCGTGTGCGTCCGGCCTCCTTAATCTCCTTAGCCGCAGCGCCCGACGCGCTGCTGTCCCTGAGCTTCGCGGCAACCGGGGAAGGCTTGAGCGAGTCGCAGGCAGCAGGCAAGCCGCACTTGTCCTTTACAAGCCGACGCGCTACCGCCACAATGAGCATCATCTCGTCCATGGTGGTATCCTCGTCTGTAGCAGGCTCGGCGGCTTGGGCCAAACCGGACGGCACCACCTTTCGCGGACGACCCACAGGCCTCTTCGCCTTCACAGCATTCTGCGACGGTTGCGACGCTGGCGACGGCTGCGACGGTTTCTGCGTCTGGTGCTGTTGCCACGCGACCTCGGTGAGAGTGAAGAACGACCCTTCCTTCTTGCATCGCTTTGTCTCCGCCGACTCAGCCCCAGAGGCGTGCCCTTCACTCAACCGCCTCTTACGTCCCGCCGACAAATCCGCCGCTTCCCCGGTATAATCACACTCCGAGTCGGAACCCAAGCCCTCGTCTTCTTCATAATCACTTTCAATCTCAGTGTCCTCGTCAGCATCATCTGCCACGTCATCACCATCGCCGGACTCATCGTCACTAACCACGTACTGGCGGTTCTTCCGGGCCCTCAGGCCTCGATGAACAAACTCTCCCTCTTCGCACGACTCTGCAGCATGCGCCTCGGCGGGATGCGACGCGCCGTAAGCCCGGCTGTCAACGTGCCCGAAGCTTGGGTCCGACGAGTCGCCCGAATCAGAGCTCGCAGCCGCGTTCGACGACGCATAGCGGGAGCCTCCGACTGGGAAAAGCTGAGGTAGAGCCGATGGGGTTGCCGCGCCTGTGCCCGCAACGGACGCTGACGCCTTTTTCCTCCCTCGGGTGCCTCTCGGGCGGAGAAACTTGGCCGGGTCCGCGTGAGGGTCTTCGAATTCCCATCGCGTGGTTCGCAGGTCCAGTCGCTTGCTGTCGCCGTGGTCGCTCACGATCGTGTGAAGCGCCTTCTTCGCGTCGTACTTTTTCACGAACCCTGCGTGCCAGCGGTTGTCGCGCGGCCACACGACGCGAATCCGCGTGCCTTCGTGCAGGCGGACCGCGGTAGGTTTTTTTTGTCCGCTCTTGTCAGATGAAGCAGGCTTGGCCATCGTAGGCTGTGAAATTGCGTTACTGTCAATCAGAGTTGCGTCAAGTCAAGCTGAGCAGGAAGAAAAGGTTAGGGGACGGATTGGAAATGCGTAGTCAGAAACGGCGCAGTTGTGATTGCTACTTTCCTGGCGTAGTTAGCTACCTCGAGAGTTGCTTGCAGATTTCACAAAAGAATTGAACTTGAAAGGGCGCGAGAATGTGGATTCGTGGGTTCAGGATGCAAAAATATGTGCCGTGAGCTGTGCTTGGGCGCCAGGGAGGGGTGACGGATGGATGGTGGGTGCGTTGGTAGCGGTGTGCGCGAAATTGGAGGGGAGGGGCTGGGCGCACCGATCGCGTCTGTGCTGGCGCTTTCCAGAATGGCGGACATTGGGATAGGAAATTTTGCCGAGGGGCAGAAACAGGAATGGCGCAAAAAAACTCATCAGGAGCCGTGGAAGGTGCGTGCGGGGCAATCAGGGTTTTGGCTCGGCGAGCCGACGATATGCGGCGGATTGCGTATGGAGAGGATGGGGTGCGGTGCAGAATTGAAGGTGGGGCTGGCGGCGGGCAGGACAAGACTCGGTGCAGTTGCGACGGGAAGAACTCCGCGTGGGCAAGTGAAAAAAGGCAATTATCGAAGGGATTGGGGATTGCGGATGATTGCGATGTGATGTGACGAGCTCCGAGCGGCACGGGGCCGGGCGGGCAGGGCAGCAATAAACGAAAGCAGACAAGCCAACTTCAAGGGGCGAATTTTGGAGCGAAAATCAGCGCCCCTTAGGGTGACAGCCTTGGGATTGCGCGTGGCCAGGTAGGGAGGGAGGGAGCTGTCCCAGTTGGCGCGTCAGTCAGACCGCGTCGCGATCAGCCCCAAACCTTCCGTCGGCCTCGGGAGTCTGGGTAAGCCCCCTTGGCTCTTGTGTGGACATCGTACATGTCGGTTGTTGATCGCAAGCGTTCGCAACATCTCGTGAGGTTGTTAGACGTCTAGAGACTGATCACTATGATTTCGCGAGGGTTACACACGTGACAACAACGGTGCAAGCACACGGGGGCACCGCTGCGACGGGGGTGCTGCGACAGTGTCGCATCGCATTCGCCAGGAAGAGTGCTGACTGGGAGGCAACTTTGTATCGCGGTTGTTTGGCTCCGCACGGTCTCCTGAGGTTGTGGGACTCGGGGCAAAAAAGGGCTTCACTGTGAGGCTCCCACCGAACTCTGGCTGTATGGACGAATGAGGAGCGAGAGTTTCTGGGGCTTTCGGTGGAATCCGCTAATCACGCAATCGTTGCACAATCACGCCAGCTCTCGATTTCGGTTGCCAACCTTCAATAGGTGCAAGCACTGCCCCAACCTGGTGTAACGATCCACCACGACTTTCGGCGGCATCCACAACCCTGGGATTGTCAAGTAGGTCAGATCGACTGTTGTGCTGCTTGTTCTGGCGACCATTCCCGCCACCTTGACGCCACCACAAGTCAGACGTGTAGCCAATACTTTATTGGCACGTGGAACACACGAGAGTTAGCCTCACGTGTATCCGTGCTGGTTCCAGCGAACAAAGCTCCATAGCCAAACCAATCACGTACGGGTAAAAGTGGCGCACGTTCACCAACCTCCCAACCAGCCTGTCGTGCGCCACAAGTTCAAGGTGCGGAAAGAATATCGCAGAAGCTGCCCGGACGTGGGTGCGCTAGTTCGTGTAGGGGCTGCCTTGTCAGTTTCTCCGACATTCATGAGCACAACTTTTTAGATGAAGTGGCACTCACTCCCCGACAAACAGGTGACTTTTAGGCTGGATTATTTTCAAAATTGGGAAAAGCACCCTTGGGATTCTGACAATGTGATCAAGTGTCAGATATTGTTGGCGGGACATGTGTGTCTCCCGCCAAAAGTTTTTCACGGTCTGCCTGTAAACCGCGGGAAAAATGCTGGCAGGTATTCTCGCAACAGACAGAAAGTAAACATATTCATTATAGTTAGAATCAACGTCCACTAAGACAAGTGATCTGAGTATAAGTTTTAGATTTGTGTCTGGGTTTGCTCCTAGGGTCATTGCACTCCAACACTTCCACAAAAACCTTCGTCTTTACCTCACAATGAGCAAACTCCTTTAAGTCTGCTGTAATTACACTGTCAACCCTCTTCCACTTGAGCTCCTTTTTCTTCATCGGTTCAAGATGGAGTGCACTGTCGACCACCAACCTCCCCACTTGACCATTGAATCCTTTGCTTCCAGCATCACTCCCCAATGAGATTTTCTTGATGGTGCTTTCCAACGCTGCCGTCCCTGCTCCTTTTCGTGCATCCTGCTCATATATTTTCGGTGTAGAGCAGCTCACGACACCGCTGCCGATGCACCCAGCAGCGCGCCTCGACACATACTCCTTGCAATTTCTCACCGACGTCTGCAAGGGGTTCTGGCGCAGCTTGCATGCAGACGAGATTATCCAAGGATGTGACAGTGCTTCATTCGCCGTCATCCTCTCCGACCGATTCGGTGTGAGCAATCTCGTCAGAAACTCCAGAAGCTCAGAAGAGGGATCATCTGGCAAACCCTCCACATCACCGACCTGTAATCTTAGCCACGTGGCATTTCCATGAACTTGCTCCGCAGATGTTGCCGCCTTACCCACAGCCACCCTGGGATGCACCCCCCCAACCATCAAGAAGAGCACGGCACCCAGACTCCACATGTCTGCAGCCTGAGTGAAGACGCGCTTCTGGAAAACTTCCGGGGCCGCAAAGAAGGGTGTGGTGGCAGGAGATGGCGAGGCAGCACCTTCAGGAGGAATGAGCATTGCTGACCCGAAATCTACCAAGTGGGGATGCTTGGATGATGTGCCAGGGAAGAGAACGTTAGTCGGGTTCTGTTTGGGGGCGTCAGAGAATAGGGTAGAAAAGGGCATTTGAAAAAGAAAAGAAAGAAAGAAAGAAAGAAAGAAAGAAAGAAAGAAATGCAGCCTTAAGCAGCCTCAAATTGGTAGAGGAACGCAATGATAAGAACACATGTGGGGCAGACAAAGCAGGGGGAAGAGGGAGAAAGGGACGACGTTGCCAGCATATTGTTTGAAGAAGGTGAGCCGCACACGTATTTTCCACAAAAGAACGAGGTGCAAGATGCACAGACACAGCTTGCCACTATTACGACCTGGCAGGAACTCCCGCATACTTGTAACACGACTTACAACGTCAAGATGTGCGATCCCTTTAGCATGTAGATACGCAAGCGTCTTTAGCAGATGGCGCACTGGAGGATAGGACAAAGCAACATTGGAGCAAGGCACAATTCAGAGAGCACGGATTCTTTATCAAATGCCTAACTTCAGAGCTTCTACACTCACCTCACAAGTACCTGGTAAGTTCCACATCAATGCTTGGTCACAGAGCTGACCACAAAAAGTTAATGCCATCATGCTGCTCACCAATAACTGATGCATGGCGCTCGGAGAACTTGGGACGCGATGCGATGTGTGACAGGAGATCCCCTCCAGCCACCAAGGGAGTGACCAGGAAGAGGAAGCGGGTGTCCTCAAATGTGCCCAGCACAGGGAGAAGGCCAGGGCAGGCTGGGACTGATGCAGGAGCATGTGCATCAGCAGCCGGTTTGGATGCATCAGAAGAAGCAGGACAGGCAGGTTCGGAAGAGGAACGTAGCGAGTCTGCTTTTACAGTGGAACTGGTACCGCCACCATTGGTGGCGGCAGCAGTGGTGCTGCTGGTTGTGCTGCTGCTGCTGCTGGCAGAGGTGGCAGAGGTGGCGGGGGCAGCGACAGAACTGTCGCCTTTCGTGTCTGATTCCGTGCTGGCTTCACTTCGTTGCAACTGCAGGCATCCCAAACGAGGAGACATAGCACATCAGATAAAGGTACACAACAGGAGTCCACAACAACAGCGAGAAGCACCTGAGGCATGTGAGAAGATTGGAGATTTACTTGGTGACAAAGGTCTTGAAGAATCACCAAGTATACCATGGATGGAAACAACCTCCTCAAGGTGCGCATGCATACTGAGGCTCATCGATTCGAACCAGCCATGCCCAACCGTGCCATGGGCCAGCACAGCCCAACCCGGCATACTGAATTCAGGATGCACGTGCAGCACAGATGGTAGGAAAGGGGCTTACTGCAAGAAGGATCTCAATCTCAGAGGCCTGGTTTGGTGGTAGGCGCCAGCATGTGAAACGCCAGCATGTGAAATGTGGGAAAAAAAGGGAGAGGTTGGAAATGAGCCGCAGAAAGAGGGTCAGAATGGGCTGCAACCATAGTTCTTTTAGCAGGGTGAGTGAGACTAGAAAAGGGAAAAGGAGCGAAGGCATGGGTTCTTCTTCTGCCTCTCACCCCTGACTGCACTTTCTGCTCTCCATTCCGTGCTCATTATCCGTCTTCTGCTCTCCCTTAGCTGTCGTTCCCTACAACCCTCAACCTGCTCACTACTCACCCGATGCTCTTCTCCCTTCATTGCTGTCACAATCCGCTTAGATAACATCTTCACTGCCACGTGGGTCCCACTCAACCTGTCCACGCCCACCCTGCACGAGATAGAGTCACCATTGAATTCAGGCCATAATTGTGAATGCGTTATTTTACCGTCGCTCACCGACGAGACAACTGAGTTTGAGTTCCAAAACCAAGCAGCGTTATCGTTACAACCATGTCGCTCAAACAACTGCACAAGTTTTTTTTTCTCCTTCTTTAGATTTCTCAGCAAAACACCAAGACCAACCAGGACCAAGCAGCGTCGTCTGGAATGCCATGCGCATCTTTCGGCAGCTCACCATACGATGCTTGTGCGACCCTCCCCAAGGACGTCTCTCGTCAGGCGATAAGCGCGTCGCACGTCCGTCGCATGGCCGATATTTAGACCGCGAGGCTCGAGCCAGGGAAAAGACGACTCGTCCTTGTCCTCCCAGTCCTCTAATGTCCGGTGCTTGGAAGAGGCCAAACCCATTCGCGTAAAGCTCAGACAACGATCATGGGCATGTAATAAAATAACGAGCTCTCGACGAGGCGCCAAGGAAAATCGTAGGTGAAGCTGTCTCCTCTCTCCACAAAACCATGGAGAAGCATTGGGAGTTTTTTTGTCAGAACTTGGATGTGTAGCACTTCAGCGGGAATAGTGTACATGTGTAGTACGTATGGGCTTTGTATATGTGTGCTTCCTTCCTTTACCGCGGATTTGCTGCTGGTGCTTGTGTGGGAGGCTTGGGGAAGGGACGTGCGAGTCGCAGGGGCCTCAGACGTTCCGTGAATGTCGTACACGAGTTTCGCCAGGGCCTCTAACGAAGGGAAACATAGATTTTCAGACGAATCTTGCGAAGAACTGGTTACGTGTGGGCGTTCGCGTGTCCTTGTCCATTCTCAACAACCATGTCGACATCTGCCACCGCGATTTTGGATGTGGTTGGGCAGCCTGGTTGTTGACGGCACTGTTTTTCTATTTTCGTTTTTGTCTTGGCAAAAAGAAACGTTTCTCACCTTTCCTGCATTCGTCCTCATTTGTTACGAGGTCACTCGTGTGCAGCTGCGACTGCAGCTGGCTGGGCTGCTGCTTGGTGACAGAAATTTTCTCTTTTGTTGGCTTGGAAAAAAGGGTGGTGGGCAGGGCAAATCTTTCGTTTTTGAAGGCACGGAAGGCTCCGGGTTCGCCTGAGAAAAGACCCTGAAGAATCAGTATTCCCTCGAAAGTTTCCCTTCCGCGTCCGTGTGTTTTTCCGAAATCCGAAAATGCACAGGAGCAGTTCTATCACCCTAGGCGCAAGTGGCTCTAAAACATCTAAGTTGGGTGGGCAAGGACCAACAGCCCTGAGATTTACATCATGTCTGACAGCACTTATAGGAATCGTTACATTCGACATACTACACAAGAACTGGTACCGAACTGGTACCGAGCTAAAATATCAGGATTGTTTTCGAAACAATACTGAAGTCCCCGATCGCTAAGCCAAATCATCCGGAAATGGTCCGGATGATTTCTAAAACGATTCTGATGAATCAGGGTTAGCCGAAAAAAAATACGGAATGTACCTGAGTTTCAGAGTGTTTACCCGGATACCGAGAGCCCTGGTGGTGGGTTGGAGCAGAGGGGTGGTGAATTGGGACGAGATGTGCTAAAACCTCACTATACCGTTTTCTGCCGTTCTATCCACTCACAGACCGTACTTAAGCGCTTTGTCGGAATGCTATGCTATGAGACAGTCCAGAGCAACTGCGGTCAGCCATTTGGCATCACAGTCTCTTGTGGTCAACTGTCAGTAGCCATAGTATCACCTAGCTAACGATTAAATAGCTTGGGCCAGTCGCAAAGGAACATCATGTGTCTCCGATCACAATGCTGACTGTGCACGCTCCGCATCCATTAAGTTCACTTACAGACAAAGGTCGCGGAATGGGTTGCTTTTGTTTTGGGAGTCCTGCGAATAAAGAGCCTGCGGTTAAAGCTGAAGGTACATCTGACTAGAGTCTAGGAATGAGACTGGAGTCTAGGAGTTAAAGCGCTTCGGCCTGCCGTATGCTTCGGCCTGCCGTACTGATTCAGAACATTTTCGTAGTAACGTTTTAGTAGTACGTATCTTATCGTTATTGTCAGTGTGTCATCCGAAGTTGATCCTGGTTTTATTTCTGGATTTTTCTCTCCCCCTTGCATGATGCGAATGGCATGTTCTGGAAGTTGACTTTCCAAACGGGGATATTGCGGTCCTGGTTTCTGCATTGTGGACTCCCTCACCAGCTCAATCGCTACTCTCGATGTTCCCTTTCAGAGCCTAAAGTGGAGGAAGAAGAAGATATCGAGGAACCAGAAGAGCAGATAGTATATGCTGGTATTCAAGATAGAGCCATATGGAACTGCCCTGGAGCCCGACACATCTCAGGTAGCGTGAAAGCTTTCTATGTAGCCGCTTTGAGGTTGCAAATGCGTACAACCTAACCAGGATTGGTTGTTTGTTCAGGAGACTTTTCGATGGCGGTCTGTCAGGCGAACGCAATACTCGAAGATTTTTCCATTGTCCAAAGCGGGAAATTCGGGACATATGTGGGGGTTTTTGACGGACACGGCGGGGCCCAAGCTGCAAATTTTCTCAGTGACAACATGTATTCCATATTGAACAGTAAGATAACGGTTTTCACGGTTTACTATGCAAGCATGCCTTCAGCTATGGCGTTGGCAACGGGGCTCTTTCTTAATTGCTTGCTTAATGTAATCTTTCGCGTTTTGCCTGCAGGAATCACAGAGGAAGCTGGTGGGCCAAGTGAAGAGACTTTCAGAAAGGCTTTTGAAGATGCAGAAGCGCAGTTTTTGGAAGTAGTCAGAGAAAACTGGAAGATGAAGCCCATCTTTGCAGCAGCAGGCTCGTGTGCTCTTGTTGGGTTAATAAACGCATCCACTCTTTACATTGCTTCAGTGGGCGACTCTAGAGCAGTTGTCGGCTCAGTTGATCCCGATGGCGATGGTACTTCTCTACGAGCAGAGGAGGTTTCAGAAGAGCACAGTGCTAGCTGTGAGAAGACCAGGCAGCAGGTCAAGGACATGATTCAAGGGGACGACAACATTCTTGTCGAGAAAGGTGGTGTTTGGCGGGTGAAGGGGATTATCCAGGTGAGCATGCACTCGATGTGAATGTTTTGTTTCTGCTTTTGTATTCTCCAACCTGAACATGTACCATCTTATGTGCAGGTAACCCGCTCAATTGGAGATTTCTACTTGAAGCATCAAGAGTTCCAAAACAATCCTTTGTACACTCGGTTTCGCTTGAAGGATCCCCTTACTACCCCAGCCCTCATCTGCCAGCCATCAGTACTCGTCAAGCCGTTGACTGAGAAGGATCGATTCGTTGTCTTCGCTTCGGATGGGCTTTGGGAAAACGTCTCGAATGAGGAGACGGTGGAACTCGTATCAAATTTTCCAAGACTGGTGAGTTCATGCATCCACTAATGGCACTATTCGCTTCTGTCCGCAATTACGATCCTGGATCGGAGGTAAACTACACAGCAAGAGTGGAAGTCTGTAAGGGGTATTGTTCCGACACATTCTGCTTGGTGCACTTTGTGACGATGCAATTTGTTGTGAAGGGGCAATCAAACTTCCTTCGCAGCATTCAGTGGGTGCATTTATCTCACTGTCATTGTATTTTGTCTTAGCAGCACATGCATCATGCACTCCAAAAGCTTGCCATTACTCATTGGTACCAAACGTTGGCACTCAGAAATTTCGCTGTGATTGCATTCTGCAATTTCCTCCGCATGAAGGTCGATAATTTTTTTTTACAAAGTTGGTTGCTGTTCCTTACGTAACCTCCAGTGCATGCAGTCAGTGCTTTGAGTCCTTCCATCCTGCTCGTGAAGTAGTTATCTTCCTTCATGAGCTTATCTTGGGTGGCTCGTTTTTCCGGTGCAGGGAATAGCAAGGCGCCTGGTGAAGCTCGCCATGATTCGAGCGGCTAAGAAGCGGAAGTTGACCTATGGTGATCTGAAAACGCTAGGACCGGGTCGGAGGCGACAGGTGCATGATGACATCAGTGTCGTGGTTCTGTTTTTGGACAATGCTGCGGGGAAGGGCAAGAAGAAGCCGATTGCTGACATCACGGTGCGATCGTATCAGCCACTCACATCCCGGCCAGATGATGGTTCAGTTCCAGCAGAGGAGGACATTCCAGATGATTTTGCATTTGGTGAAGAGAGCAGCAGTGCCACTGATGCGGATGGGACTGCAAGCACACCAGCACCAGAGTGATTTTCTGACATAGGTCTATTATTGACTAAGAGAAATACGAGAAGTTCAGTTTAGTTGGGGTTGGTTAGGTAAGGTGCCAGCTTTTCATCCGACTGCTAGGCATTATCTACGGTTACAGCTTCTGTTCCTTCTGCAGAACTGACATTCTAGGAACACCTATCCATGGCAAAGTGGCCAGGAAGGCGTTGTATCTCAATTGCATGAAGTATTGTGGCATGCTAGCACCCTGGTTGGAAAATATCGTGCTCATCTAGGTACGGATGTAACAACTGCCCTCCATGAATATCCGCTAACCTATACACCAATCCAGTGGGTAGCAGAGCTCTCCTTGGGTAGATTTGCAGATGCTGCTCGGCCTATGATGAATGTTGCCATAGAGAGAACAAGCCCAAAGATGGCGTACAAGAAGGACCGATCCATTGAAAAGCCATACAGCGTGATGCCACATGGGCAATGCTGAAGATATGTCACTGCATCCATGCTCAGCAGAATTGTCAGAAATGTGTACTTGGCCCTTCAAAATATGGTGTCAACAGACTTACCGAATGCAACTCGCTTGTGGAAGGCATCACTTTCGTAGTTTTTGGGCTCTTTCCCAATCTCTGCAATGTCTACCAGAGTCGCCACACCCGATCCAACTCGGTGAAGCATCTTGATCAGACCTTCGCCAGACACACATGATTTCTTCCCCTCCCCTTCAGCTTCGGCATGTTGCGAACGGGTCATGCCATCTCTTCCTCCATTCAAAGACGTTTTAAGTGCCAGGCTTTCACCATCACTACCCACGAAAGTGTTTCCTGCAGGCATTCGAGGTTCCTTGTTCCCAAAAAGCAGGCATCCATCCGCTGCCGTGGAAGCCAATGCAGCTTGTACATTGGGATATGCAGATCGGCCAGGCTGCATGTTCAGTGCCTTGGGTGATAATGGCGAAGGTGGCTGTGCAAAATTACCGGCATGCATTGCACGGTGGACGCCGGATAGCAGAGGTAACGCCAGGTGCTGGGCTGCAGCGCGAGGAGGGGTTGTCACAGGAGCAATGGATGAAAAAATATCTGAGCCTCCAAATGGCACTGTTGGCTCATTGCTGCCTGACGTGTGTGAAATTTCCATGCGAGATCCAGCAAAGTTCCGACAAGTGGCTGCTGCATGCCACTGGCTGACGACTGTTACAATCTTTTGACCTTGATGGGTTATACGTGCAGCACCATGCAGACAGAGAAGCACACCCGCGAGCTGTACATATGTGCAAACCTGCACAACCAAGAAAACTTGGTCATTTGCAAGAAATTCATATTAAACGCATCTCATTGCAGAAGAGCTTTTCAACCATGAGGTCAGTGGCTTGAGGAATTGGAGTCGGCCCGTGGAGCCGCAAGAACGAGAACAATGCAGAAAATTGGGATGCACACACGACGAGAAGAGCCTTTAACAGGAAATTACGAAACTGGTGGCTGATTGTCGCCATGTGGTCTCTCAGCTGCATGTGGTGGCTCAACATTGCAGCCACATCAACTTCGACTTCAAGACGTTCAATGTATGCCTGCCAGTGCATAAACCCATTAATAGCAGTGACGTTCAAGTCAGTAATTTAAGTCTAGAAAACCGCCAGATAACTCACAACTCACCTGAATTCTGATGGCTTGCATTGAGCACATAAGACGAAAGAGAACACAAACAAACAAATACACAAGCGCCTGATAGGCCCAAGAAATCTCCAGCAGAACAATCCATGCTGTGGTCAGGCCTGGGTTTGTTATTGCGTCCCTGTTGCGCGAACCGAATGGAGATGCTGATTCAGCAGAGGCAAACCAGATGACATTCTTCAGGGCCTTGATAAGCAATGCAGGTAGAATAAGTAGCATCAACGATTTAACCAGTTTCTGCACATAATTAACTCTTTGCGTGATGCAATTTGAAGAAGCATGTTTTGAAAGAAATCTAAGCAGCAGTAATGCTGGAAAGAAAGTTGTGACACTTACGTGGAGCTCAATTGGATACTTCCTCTGGACATTTGCAGCGTCTGAAGTAAACACGAAATCCAACTGTAATACTTTTCTCAGCCCTGGCTGCTGCTGCATCCTTGCCAGAAAGGCAAACGACGCAAAGCATAGGATAGTATCAATGGAGGTAACTAGTCGCTTAAAAGAATGGTGGTCGTGGCCAGGATCAGTGCAACGAGCGCTTGCGAATGATATTGTGGGGATGAGGACGCCAAATACCAGGAAGGCAGTCCACGAACATATGGAACTCCAGGTTCCTGACTGGTCGAGACAGAGCCATTGAATGCGAGATACAAACATGTCAAATTCCCGAGAGGCGCGAGAGGGCTGACGGATGAGCTTCATGGATGGAAACGGCTTCAGAATTCGCTCTCTTAGAGAGCGACGAGTAAGGGAGGTCGCACAGCAGGATGTGCTGCTTGAACGTGAGCTGCTTGCGGAATCTGATGGTGTATGCTGAATATTCTCAGCTCCTTCATGTTCGGGATGTAGTATTGTGCAGCTTGTGTCAGAGGTACGATTCATCGAGTTGCTGCTGGAAAGGCATTTTCCATCTGGTAACACAACAGTCTGATCGTGCTCAGCAATGGCTGCCTCCGTCATTCTCATGATGCTCACATAAGGACTACAACCAGTCTCGGACGAATCTGAATCACGTGAATTGGAACTGCCGCTGGAGCTAGATGCAGCTGAAGCCCAAAATGGGAAGCCATCATTGGCTGTAGGCGAACGTGCGAACCCAGAACATCCGAACGGGTCTTCGACATCAGCAATTGCTCTTGACATCCCTCGGAACGTTACCTGCGTAGCTGAAAACGGAGTGATACGAGGTGTATTCACGACCTAGTTGGGAATGGAAACTGAATCCTTCACAGCAAACAAACGATGCGAAAATACACAATCAGAATGATGAGTGCTGCTTTGCTAGGTCGGAGCTTTCTGATTTGCTTGCCTTCGGTTTGGTTGGACTTCTTCATGAAGGTGGTGGGCGGGATAGAAGGGGATTGATGCGGGTGGTGGTGGGTGAACATTGCGCGCCTGGAAAATGTGCCTACCTGTAACAAAGGTTTCCTGATGGCAGTGAAGGTCCATCTCATAAAACAAATGCACAATCGACTTTACGGGCAGCTCCTTCAGCTACCCTTGCACGTGGGTTTTGAGTCAGCGAATCAGCAATCGACACAGCCGCTCTGGATAACCTGCCCGCCTCTCGAAAGTTGGCCTAGTCCAATCACAACCCAACCAAACCAACCTCGGAAGGGTCGCTTGGGGCAATTGTCTGGTAACCTCTCTGCCCCTCTGCGCCCTTCATCCTTCCTCCACAACCCTCTGTATCCGCCGTAACACTGCTGCATCCTTGTGTTGTTCATCTGTTGGTCTGACTGGTGCCTTCGGCTTTTCCTGGATTCAGAAATTACGTCCATGCACACTAGTTGGTCGTCTCGCCAGCTGCATGTAGCTTGCCGTTCTAGGAGGTCTCATCCACGCTCAGCTTTGCGAGAGAGAAGCGACGCGATTCGATGCAGACAATGCGGAAGGGAACCATGTTTACGCCTCGATTTAATCACCGTGTTAACGTATTTACTGGGAAACCATCTCAGAATGAACCAGTGCTGCTATACCTTGTTTTCCAGTTCTTCGGCATACAGCTCCACTGCTCCTTACCTGACTGCTCTATTTCGCCTAGTTCCCGCATAACGCTCCCACGCACCGCTTTACTCTGGCCATTACAAGCAAGATGGCTACTGGATCCGTCTCTGTATGGTGGGATGTTGAAGGTTGTCCCATTCCCAGGGACCTTTCCCCAGAAGATGTCATTGAGAACGTCAACAGATTCCTTGAGATGAAAGGGATTTACGAGGCTTGGAGCATGAACATCTTCAGCAGCGATTTCCGTGTGAATCTGGCGAGCAGCCTTGTCCCTAACGTGAAGCTCCATCAGTATCCTCCAGGTCGGGTTGGTTATTTTTTCGTTTATTCTTTCGGATCTTTGTTTTTTATCCTATGCACTAAACTTCCTCCCTTCTCGTGCCTCGTGCGTGTGTGACAGGTGAAGCAAGGATTCACGAGGCTATCCTCTTCTGGGCTCTAGATGCACGTCCGCCGGCAACTGTTCTTCTCGCAGCAGGTCTAAAGCCTGACCTTTCCCGCGTTTTGATGGGCCTGCAGCACCGGGGTTTCCGTGTTATCCACGCTTACCCATCAGCCGTCAGTGTTGAATCTCCTAAAAAATCCAGTTCCAAACCTCAAAATAGAGCAGATTTACCGGAGGTGGAAACTGTGGACTGGGAATATGTCTCCGGGGGATTTTCGTCGCCTGACAAGCTTAGCCTGTCAAAACATCCTTTGACCGACGTGACACCACGGAAATTGCTCCAATACGTCATGCAGTCACTGGAGTACGACAAGCTCCTACCTAGCGACTTCAACGTCCAAGCACGGCTTCGCTATGTCATGGCCAAGCAAGGCCTCAAGGACATCCCTGGGTGGTCGTCGTGGAAATTTGTTGAGAGGGCTCTTGCAGCTGGGGAAATTAGGGTCATGTCAGAAGAGTGTAACGATGTCTATCTACCGAAGGGAAGGGACATATGCTGGCCGTGGATTGACCCATCGTTCCCTTGTAACGTGTACGAGGATAACATCTGGTTGGCGCTTCAGAAGTACCTTCTTGGTGAAGGACGCTGGGCAATGGAGTCTTCTAAAAGCAGGTAAACCAGCTTTTGTTTTTTCTGCTGGCTGATTTCAATCTTCCGTGTCTTGTTTCTCTCTCCCTTGTCACTTTGCCCACTGTTTTAGCCCCTTTCATGGTGTCAGTCCTTTTTGCGAACCCAGTTCCTTGCCAGCACCACTAGCTGATTTTCATGTTTCCTCGCTTTCTCTCTCACCTTTTACAGGTACCATGCAGCAGAGACTTTGAAGATAGAAGGTCCTCAGGAGCTAAGGCAGCTGGTGATGGGGCAGCTGATCCATGTGGTGCAGCTCTCAGTCACCCTCCGAGGCTGGCTGAAACCTCACCCCACCAAGTGGACTCCTGTGCAAGTGACTGCTCACGATTCTCCTCTTCTGCAACCTGGGGCCCTTCTGTTGCGAAAATCTCTCTCAATGGCACGAGTCTCTTCAACAAAGACCTCAGGCTACAGTGCTGCGATTGGAGATAACAATGCATGGTCTCAACCTGAATCCAGCAGTCGACGGACGGGAGCTGAAGCCAGCAGTGTGGGAGCAAGTGCTCGTCCAGGCCGTGTTATTGCTTCTGCCTTACCAACAAGGCTGAGCCCGGCAGCATTTGCCGCCATCGTTTCGAGGCCAGGCTTCCCCTTGCGAAACTTGCTGGGAAGAGAGCTGGCTGAAGTTAAGCCAGAGAGCCCTCATGCTGGAAGTCCAAGGCTCAGACAAGGCACAGAACATGGGGAAGAAGAGGACATTCAAGGAGCATGGGAGCAGGGGAGGGAGCGTGGGAGGGCGCAGCAGTGGGAGCAGAGGCATGGCGCCAGTGGCATGGGTGAGCGGGAGGTGCCAGTGGTGCCGGTGAAGCCATGGGATGATATTCTCAAGGTGCCTGCATCCCCTTTTGAGGGAGCGACGGGCGAGGAGCGTAGTGCCACCTGGGAAGAAGAACGACCCAGAGGCAGCTGGAGAAGCACCCCAAGGTCAGCAGCAACATCAGCAGCAGCAGCGGATTTACTTGAGTCGCCTGTCAGCTCTCCTTCCCCCATGTCATGGCGCCGCAGGCAGAAGCTCCAGGAGTTCCGTGAATTCGCTGCCAGGGTGCTGCTAAGCCAGCCGCATGGGATTCAGTTGGATCAGCTGCAGAGGGAGTGTGCGCGGAAGATGCCCCGAGGATTTAACTCTGAGGCGCTGGGATACGCAAGTCTGAGGGACGTGCTGGAGAGCATGAAGGATCTGGCACGGCTGGAGGCGTTCCCTGGAGGGTTTGTGCTGGTCTTCGCCTCTGATGAGCTGAAAGGCGCGAACTTAGAGGGGTGTTCCTCGCCTCTCGCCATGGCTGTTCCTGCATTACCCTCCGCTGCCACATTGGCCGCTTCCTCCGATCCTGTGTCTGCTGCGCTTCCTTCTCCAAGTCTTGGAGTTTCCTTTCGTCCACTCTTTTCTGCTGGTGGTACTGATGATGCTGCACCTAGTGGCAGCACACCCAGCAGTGCTCTTCACCTGTCTGCTCCCACTACTCCACGTGCCTCACCTCCCCCTGTCCCCAAGCCACGACCTGAAGGCTATCGCCGCTTCGACACCAGCTGGGGCGGTGAATCCTCATCACCGTTCTCCCCACGCTCCTCTCCACACTCCTCTTCCCTTCGCTACAGAGAGCCACCCTCGTCAGATAGTAAATTCGCAAAGGAGCGTGCCCTGGGGCCGTCATTCTCATCACCACTGAGCCCTTTCACAAGCCTGCCCTCGCCTCGTTCACTCGATGCATCCCCATCTTCCCGACCCCCCGGGGCATTCAAAGTGCAGCAGAGGGGGGCAACTGGGCTTGGAGAGGAGGAGCAGTTTGGGAGCAAGGGAGGGAACCAGCTGTGGGACGAGGGTATGGGTTGCGGCGAAGGCAAACGTGGGGGCGTGGGTGGTGGGTTGAGGGAGGGAAGTCTTGCGTTGGGGTCTCCTTCTGGCAGCAGGTGGCGTTCTGAGGGAAGGTGGAGGGAGGTGAGGGAAGTGAGAGAAGTTCGTGAGGTGAGGGAAGTGGAAGAGGTGCAAGAAGGTGTGAGGGATGAGGTAATCAAGGGTAAGCATGAAGGATCTGGAGCTGTTCACCGTGAAGCAGGGCCTTTTATGCGGCCAGCCTCGTTCTCCTCTGATGCCCCAGATCCATCAGCCATCTTTAAAACCCCATCTTCTGTGTCAGATGCAGGTGTATCAACGCTGCGCAGCAGGGCAGTGCCACCGACGCGCCTTGAGCTTCCACTAGCAACCGTCGCAGCAGAAAACGTGACAGAAGGCAGCAAGGGTAACCTCACAGAGAGCAGCAGGTTGGCAAAAGCAACAGGGCCTGCAAAAGGCAGGGTGGCAGATGGGGGGAAGGCCAGAGCGAGTCACAAGGCAGAGCTTATGAGGAGTGATCTGAGGCAACTGCTGCAGGAGGTGCTGTCGAAGCCAGGGGTCCACAAGACAGGGTACCAGCTTGCTTTCCTCAAGGGCGCTTTTCTTCAGAAGTATGCATACCCCCTGGATCACACTGTGCTGGGCTATCCCAAGCTGAAGGCACTGTTGCTGAGCATGGAGGATGTTGTCCATGTCGCGGCTGCTCCTGGGGGACATGGAGTGCTCTTTCCTGCCAAATCTGCTAAACCTCTCCAATCTCCTGCAGCAGCATCGCCATTTGCATTGCTGCCATCATCAGCATTGTCGGTAGTTTCAGCAGCAGCAGCAACAGCAGCAGCGGCGGCGGCGGCGGCAGCAGCAGCGTCAGCATCATCAAGGAGGGCCCACGGGAAGGCGTCAGAAGCAGGGGTGCAGACTGCTGAGGTGTCAGTGAAGGAGGTGGTGAAAGCTGCCACGCACTGGCAGGTGAAGGCGCAGCATGGGGGCAAGGCGAAAGAGGCTGCTGCACCCTTAGCTGCATCTACAGCAGCACCCTCCCCTACTGTACCTATGTCAGACCCCCCGCAGGTAAGTTTCCCTGAAGACGAGCTCCCTGTGTCAGCTCTTGACCCTCAAAGCCCGGTGCATGAGCAACCCATGGAGGTATCGCCTGTTGTGGAAGAGGGCACAGCAGAAGGGGATGAAGGGTCTCCAGAGGTTGCCGCTCTCGTTTTGGCTAGTTTAGAAAGCAAGCGAGGGGATTCTGCCCATATGACACCTCATGCTGATGAGGGTGACGTTGATGCAAGAGAAAGGGGTAGATGGTGTACAACCATGTAGATTGTAGCACCTGCCTTGCTTTACCTTTTTGGAAAGTGCTTGGGGATAACCTGTGTTGAGGATTTCCTTCCAGAAATGGCAGTACTTGAATGTACTTTTACTTTCTGCATTTGTATTCTCTGACTGTACTCCAATTCGTACTTCGCTGACGCAGTCCCACTGTCCTGGAGCTTTGCTGGCCTAGCCCTGCAATGACGTGTCTGCTCGTCACGCGCTGACACTGGTGCACCCTTGTGGGAGGCGCGACATGTCCGCCACAGTGCGACAGGTCTCTCCCAGTCTGCAGCAAGGACTCTGGCATTACAGAGCACCGGCTGGGACTGCCCTGGATATTACTTTCACCGTATTTCACCACTCGTTTTGCCGTTCAATGTTCGCTTGGTACCTGCTTTCTTGCATGTCCATTCTTGTGCTTCGCAGATTGAACTTCAATTCTCAAATGTCCGAACTACTTGTTTCTGTCCATTCATGATCAATTTCTTGCCCTGCTTTCCTGTTGACCGTCGCTACGGATTTAGTCAAACAGAGAATAACCGTACACAACCACATCGCCTTAATTTTTGCCCAGCGATGGAGGCTGTCTCTCCAGACACAGCAGCGCGGCTCGTCACGTGCACCAATGCTGCCAAATCACCCGAACCTGGCGCGCGAGAGAGCATTCAGAGCATGTGGGACGAAGAGCTCAGCCGCGCGAAGTGCGCCGTGCATGGCGGAGACAGTCAGGGAAGGGACGACGGGTGCGCCCCGGCACTGACGGAGCTTGACGGAGGGCGGGCCTCCGGGGATGCTTCGGCTGGTCGAGGTGGCAGTGTGGGAGTGCCACGTGGCGTTCAGCAGCTGTTGAACGAGGCGTTTTCGGCCATCCCGGTCTCTTCCTTCCCGCTTTCGCCAGGCGGAGAAGGTATGCATTCTATTTTATCACTAACCATTCAAAAGACGGTTGAAACGCAGATAAGCGTCAGCATCCTGAGCTAACGAGGCAGACGTGCCAGAATTGAAAAGTATGCTGGTTTCGTTCATCATGCCTCGAGATCCGGCCTCCTTATTCCTTGCCCTCACATCGGCTTCGAGGCGCTTTAGAAGGCGAATTTCTTAAACAGTTCGTTTAGACTCACCCACTCTTCTTCTTTTCTGCCTTCCTGCTCCCCAATGATCTCCCAAAAACAAACCTCTTTCCTCACACCCCTTCCAGTCGTCGAGATCGCATCTGACGCGTCCATTCTCGAAGCCGTGCGCATCCTGTCCGTCCATTGCATTCTTTCTGCTCCTGTCCGCAACGCCAGGCTAACAGGCACAGCTTCGGGGGCAGGGCCTGGTGGGGCGAGAGAGGGAGGAGGAGGAGCTGGAGGGGCAGGATTAGGGTTAGGATCCGACGTGGCGTGGTCTGATCGGTACCTAGGGATGGTAGACTACGCAGGTGTCATGATGTGGGTGTTGCAGCAGGCTGACCTGGCAGCTGCCACGCTGGCAGCAGGCACCGCAACGATGACAGGTGTCGGCGTGGGAGCGGTGGGGGCGCTAGGAGCAGCAGCATTGGGGGTGGGAGGTGCACCGCTGGCAGTGACTGGCGTGGCAGCAGCAGCGGTGGGCGCAGCGGTGGCAGGGGGGGTTGAGAGAGAGGAGGAAGTTGGGAGGAGGGAAAGGGGGCGGCGCTGCCGCTGCTGCGGATTCTCTTGGTGTGGACTTTTTCCATATGATCACAGAAAACGAGCCGTTTAAGTCAGCTACCGTAAGTACTGCTGTGGATGTAGACCGAGATGTCTCGAGTGGAGGGGGGGGGGGGGGGGGGGGTGGAGCCGCTGCTGCTGGTTCTGCTTTAAGGGTCATTGGCACCTCTCTCACTCTCTCCATGGACATGTACTGAGGCATGTGGCATGGACATCACTTAACAGTCCTGCAGACTGCAGCTAACTGTCGTACCCATGCAGCCCATCTTACTCACTTGCTTCCCCCATTTTCCATCCTCTCATTTCCCTTCCTCTCATTTCCCCTGCGCCCACCACCGCTCAGCTGGACCGCCTCAGTCAGGAGGGAGAAGTCACAAGCAGCTGTTGTTCTCTCCCTTCCTCTCCATGTCTTGAGTCAACTCAGATCCGCCCTGTTGTTCATTCTTGAGCCAACTCAGAACGTCTCCCTTCTTGACTTCTTCTCTCAGGTGGCTGACATCACACGCAGCTACCGCTGGGCGCCATTCCTCCCGCTGCAGCCCACCGACTCAATGCTCACGCTGCTGCTGCTGCTCTCACGCTTCCGCATGCGCTCTGTGCCAGTTGTCGCCCTCGGATTGGCCCCTCCGGCCCCTCGCCTGCACAACCTGATCACACAGTCAGCCGTGGTTCGTGGCCTTGCCAGGTACAGCCAGGAACATACTTGTCAGCTGTGTTCAACCCAGCAAACAAAGCGAAGGCCCGTATAGGTCTGGAGTAGAGCACTATATGTACATGAAGCAGCACTTCTTCTTTGGCTATCTTTCACCCTCCTTCCCTCCCTCCCTCCCTTGCAGGTGTCGTGGGTTTGACTGGTTCGATGTGATTGCAGACAAGCCTCTTATGACTCTTGGCCTGCCACTTGTGGGGGAGGAGGAGGTGAGCTCCTGTTATTTAGCTGACTTGCCAGCCAGTCGATGTGAACTCATTTTGAGGCGCCAGTCGTCTTATTTTGCTGACTTGCTAGCCAGTCGATGTGAACCCCTTTCTTCTGAGGCTGTTGCTGTTTCTTTCTTTGTTTTTCCCCCTCTTGCCAAGCTTGTTGACATGAGTTTCCTCTTAAAGCTCGCGTCTCAGATTTCCAACCATTTAACACTTGGTTGGGTTTGCCCGTCTGTGATTGGGTAACGTAAAACGAAATATTTGACGAGTGGGAGAAAAAAGAACAGCGAACTCCCAAACAGTCGAGGCCAAAACAAACCAGGGTGGGTTGGTTTGGGTGGAAAACGAGCCAAGGGGGACAGGTTTGGTCCCAGGTTCTGTCAACGTTGAGTTCAGTGTCTCATATTTTCGGGAGTTGTAAATGCTTGGTGTGCACGGGGAAGCGTGCGACAGCCAACTTTCCCAAACCACCCCTTGCTTTGGTGTGCTTTGCGACAAACTTTGCTGTTACCGGATTCCAACCGTTTAACACTTGGTTGGATGGCAGAAATATGAGACGCGAGCTTTAAGGAAAAAAACACGTGGAATCATAACATCAACACGCGCAAATAAAAAAAAGAGGTGAAACACAAACTCTTATCGATCATGACCCTTGCTTGACCAGGTGGTGTCAGTGGATGCGGGTGCATTGGTGCTGGAGGCGTTTCTTCTCATGAAGGAGAAAGGGGCGGGGGGCGTGCCGGTAACCGACGGTCCAGATCGCATCCTGTATGCCAACATCAGTGCAAGGGACGTGGGACTTCTCCTTCTGCACCCAGACATGTTCCACTCTAGGAGGTGAGGACGCCCTGCTTGTGAGGTGTATTTCGTTGTTGTTGCATATCTGCATGTGCCATTGAAGGTAAGAAAGTGGATACAGGTATGTCAAGGGAGAAGTGAGCTTGTTCTTGCACATTCTGTTGTGCCATAAAGCATGCTTGTCATCACTTCTCTTCAAGCAGTCCCAGTCACACCACACCCTTGAGAACATTTTCCCTCCGTCCACTCTCCCCCAGCCCTCACTCTGCTCTCCCACCGCTTTGGAGAGCTCTCAAGCACCACCATAATTCTCCCTCCTTCCCTCTCCCCCACCCTCCCCCCCCCTACCCTCCTTCCCCCTACCCTCCCATTCCCAGCCACTTGACCGTGCGGGACTTTGTCGATCGCTGCCTTGCCCTGCAAGCAGCCGACCTGCATGTCCCACCTGCTTCCTCCCTCACAGCCAACGTCCCTGCCACCACCAACACCACTCCCACCCCTACGGATGCCACAGCGGATGTCAGCAGCACCAGCATTACCTCCACCATACCACCTGCCAGCACCGCCGGGGGCGCCATTGGCAAAGCGGGCAGCAATGCCAGTGACAGTGCCAGCAGCGACTGCTATGGTTTAGTGGGGTCGATGCGGCCAGCTGTTTCCTGCCGGCGCACAGACAGTCTGGTGTCAGTGATAGAGACGCTGGCAGGGAAGGGCATTCACCGAGTGTATGTTACCGACGACCATGACCGGCTGCAGGGCGTGGTTACGTTACGTGATATTATTTCGAGGTTTGTTAAGGAGCCGGAAGGGTATTTTGATAACTTCCTTGGCGATATGGCCCGAGCCTGGGAGTAACGAATGCGGGGAAAGGTAGTAGGTATCGTTGATGCATGTACCTGCATTACTGTATATGGAAGATAGGGATTCTATCCATTCCGTGAAGTAAATCAGATTATTTTGTCGGTGGAACCCAATTTTTTTGCATCACAGCACAGCGTGCACTTGCCTACTGGTAGGAAAACAAATATCCAGAAGGGTTTTGCAGGCGACAATTTATTTATTTAATAACAGAACGCAATTGTCAGCAGGCCAAAAATAAGCATACCATACTCAGTGTGGGTGTCACCTAGTACCAATCCTTGAATGCAGCACTGAATCAAACAAAAACAAAACTGACAAACCGAATCACCATGCCTGCACGCACCCTATGCGTGCACACATCTAATGCATGTGTGTGTGCCCATCCTCATCCAAGTACCCAAACACCTTGAGAGGATCATGACCAAAATCAATGCATGTGTGTGTGCCCATCCTCATCCAAGTACCCAAACACCTTGAGAGGATCATGACCAAAATCAATGTGCCTGAAATCCTCCTCACACCCCCCAGCACCTCCTCCACCAATCAGCAACCCTTCCACATGATCATGTGCTTGTAACGCAGGGCTGTCCTTTCCCCCTTCCTGGGACCAGCTCTTGCTGCTGGAATCCTCCCCATTGGAGTCATCCCCCTTAGAGTCACACCTCGTTTTATCACCAAATTTCTGGTACGCCGCACCACCTAGGGATTGTCCCATCACCATGCACCCCTGATTGCTCAGAATCAACCCATTGCCGTTGGGTCGCCTGACGACTTCTTTTCCGGGCAGCCCGCTACCATCCATCCCACCACCCTGCTGAGAATTCAGCTGCCCGCCAGCAGTGGCACGACTCCTACTGCCGCCCTCTACAGCACAGGAAACTCTTAACTCCGGACCGAACCCAGTGGAACCACCACCATACACTGCCCGTCCCACCAAGTCTCCTCCTCCCCTTTCTCCTCCTCCCTCACCTCCCGCTTCCGCCACCCCTGCTCCTGCTCCTCCTGCTGCCCTCTCCCTCTCCTCCGCACTGCTGTTCACTGAACCTACCCTGGCGAGAGACAAAGAGGGTGGAAGCATTAGTTGTTGCTGCTGCTGCTGCTGCTGCTGCTGCTGCTGCTGGCTGGCATTGTTTGGCATCATCTGCAGGAAAGGGTAACCACCACTGCCCGCTGCTGACGTGGCAAGATGGGACGGGGCGTAAGGGGAGGAGGAATGGACGCCCAGGGCAGGAGAGGTATGGCTGAAGGGCTGACTGAAACCCGCACCTCCCATTCCCGAGCCTGCTGCCGAACCTGTCCCAGGTCCAGGAAAAGGCGGTACGTTCATAGGATAGCCTCCCATGCCCATCCCCATACCCATGTTGTAGCCAGCATATGATGACGTGGCAGGGGCGAAGGTTCCCGGATGTTGCATGGGCATAGAATATTGCCCGTGCGGCTGGTGGTGAGGCATGGGCCATTGCTGCATCCAACCCATGGGGCCAGGTCCGGGAACCGAACCTGGAGCAGCAGGTCCGGAACCATGCGGTGGCGAGCCTAGCCCCGGGCCTAGGGACATGTGAGGAACGGAGGAGAGGGAGGGTTGCGAGGAATGGTCCACAGCCCAGGGGGGAATACCTGAGGGAGCACCTGGAGGACTGTTGTTTGCAGCGCCGAAGGGCATAGTGGGAGGAACACCTGAAGGAACACCTGAAGGGACACCTGAAGGGACACCTGAGGGGGTACCCAAGTTACCAGGCGCAGCAGAAGCGGGATTACCGCCAGGATTGGCGAAAGCGTGGACCGGGAGAGGCGGGGAGGCTGACGTTTCACACTCCTGTTGCTGAAGATTCTGCTGTTGCTGCTGCTGTTGTTGTTGCTGTTGTTGCTGTTGTTGCTGCTGCGCCTTAGCACCCGGGCGGAAGGGGCACCGCAATTGGTGGATGTTTCTCAAATTCCGGTCCGCAAATGCGTTCTTCCACTCGCGCCGCGGGCAGCCCTCGTACGGGCACTTGAAAATTCGGTGCTCGGGAACCAAATCCCTCCCGCCGCCGTTTCCCCCCGCCGCCACTTCCCCCGCTGCGCCATCCCCATTCCCCCACGGCAGCCTCGCATCCTCGTTAAGAGAGGCCTCGTTTCCGCTCGTATCAAAACCTCCGCCCGATGCGGAGTGATTTAGATTCCCGCCATAAGCGCCGACCTCGGAGTATGCGCGCTTAAGCTCCCCGCACAGCAAATTCCCTCCGCCAGCGCCGTTGCCGCCGGGGCTGCTGATTCCGTCCATGCCGCCGCGATTTCCGCCATCGTATGCGGCGAGAGAGAAGGGAGCCATGTTCGTGACGCCACTGTCGACGGCCTGCCGGTCCATCGGACGATGACCGTCAGAATTGCCGGCTCGGAGAAGAGTTGCGCCAACGGCGCCGTTAGCGTTAGCGGAGTTCTCGTGAGCAAACGCGCGGAGGATTTTGAGGCCGTTACCGCGCTGGATAGATGACGGCAAGCCGCTAGCGCTGCTGCCGGAGCCGTTAGGACCCGCGCCGCTGTTGCCGGCGAGCGCGATCATGCCGCTGCTGACGCTATTGCTGTGCGGGAGGGAGTTCGGCCCATTCCGTCCGGAAATGGCGGCGGAATTTCCGCCGGGATCGCTTGCCGCCGCCCCAATTGCCACCGCTCCGTTAGTAGCCGCCTCTTGTTTGCATAAAGCCTCCTCGTTATCGAGAACCATGTGCCATATGCTCGTCTCCCGAGCCGTCATCTTGTCCTGCAGGCACTTGCTTTGCCGAACCAGCTTCCGAGGCTTGGCGATGTTGGGAGCCATGTGACGAAGCACCGAAGTCAGTACACCAACCTTCCACGCCTTCTTCAAATCGTGAGGCTTCTTATAAGGAGGCGAACCGCTGCCCCGCGGAAGGCCCAGCTGCGGCCACCAGGTTTCGTTCCCCGTAGGCCACCACGGCGGGGGTACACCTTTTTCCAGCGGGAACCGTCTTTGTGGCGGATCGCAGTGTTGCATTAACGCGGACAAAAGCGAACCCAAAGTTGTATCCTGCAAATCTTGAAGTGTACGCGGTGTAGAAATCGAACCAGGCCCAACCAATGGCACGCCGCCAGGCCCAACCACCACGCCCCCCGCAGCACCGCTCCCGTCAACCCCTCCCCCCGCAGCCGCGGCTGCTTCCATTTGCATCACCATCATCCGCCCCGCTTGCGCCGCTGCCTGCTCTTCGTTATACTTCGCAACCGCCGCCGGGCCGCTGCGATCGAATTGCACCTCGTCCTTCCACCAGCTGCGGAGATTGTCTGACGAGCCGCCGACCGGCTTGCCTTTTTCCGGGATGATTCCGTATACGAAGCCCTGCGCGTTGCACGCGTCCATTAGCTTGAGCATGTATTTAAGAATGCCGTCGTGCGCGCGCGACATCTTCTTCCTCCGCGCCGCATCTTGCTGAAAGATCCGGAAAGACAAAGGGGGAAAGTAGAGGTAGAGAGAGGGGTGGGGACGGAGTGAGATAGGACGGAATAATTGCTGAGATATTGTGACAAATATCTGACAGCTCAGCCTGAAAGAAATCGTGGCAATCGTGGGTACTACTCTCTGCCAGGCTCTCGCACTCAATCAGCACCGATCATAGCGGAGCCCGTACTAAATCCCGCACCTGCGACTGAGTCGGCCTGTGCTTCTGCGGCTGCTGATCCTCCTCCTCCTCCTCATCCTCCACCGCCCAATCCGGCCGGCACTTCAGACCCCCAAACTCGCCATTCTCGCCCGACGACGCGGCGCCCGCCGCCGCCGTCGACGCGTCCTTGATGTGGCGCAGCTTGAGGCGGTCCTTCCACATGCGCTGCTCTAGCTCCTGCACCTCGAGGTCTCCTTCGGACGGATCGTGCGGCTCGTCGCCTAAAAGCAGATCGGCTACTTCGCTCATGTCGATTTGTCCCGCTGGGAGGTGACCATCCATGGCGTGATGATCTCGCCGGGAGTATAAACAAAGTTCGAGTCGTGTTGAAAGGGTTGCCTGCCCGGGCTGCCCCGCGGGAGCGACACAGTGACCTTTCGCCGAGACGTGGCGGGCTCTGTGAGCGTTTTCTGGTCACCACTGAGAGTCCCGACGGTGTGAGGTAGAAATGAATGTAATTGGAGTGTCTTTTTGCCGACTGGCGTCTTCCTGCTCCTGACGTATTTCTGGTGCTGGGGTGGAAAGTGAGGTGTTAGCGGAATGCTTGCCGAGAATGCAAGTGACTGCTTCGGCCGCCGTTGCAGAATGCGATCTCGCGGTCAGAATGTGACTCGTTGGGAAGATGACATGCCTTCGTGCGGCCTACACCCACCCACACTCACTCTCGCTCACCGCTCACCCATGTACTGATGACGAGAACGAACATTGCTGGAAGTCTGGCAGAGCCACCCCAGGCGTACGCAATTCAGGGAAAAGGGGAAACAATCTATCCGTCTTGATGTGGGCTGGAATTCTGGGAAAAAGAGGCTCGGCGGGAAAGGAAAGGGCTGAATGCAAAAGGGATGCTGGTCGTGTAAATGCATTTCGGGTGATTACTAATGAGATGTGAAGACACCAGAAAGTTGGCTATACAAAACAAATGTCCCAAAGTTCATGTTAGGGCGCGTGTGATATTTTTTCGAACTTCCCAAAGATTGAACTTTTAGAGAGGTTCTACACGGTAGAACACATTTGAGAGTTTTTCGCCACGGTGCAAAGCAGTTTAAGTTCGAACTTTGACAGATTATCAAAGATCACACGCGCCCTTAATTGCCGAATGAGCACACTTACTGGCAGATTTGTCGATCATTCATTTCAATACGAAGTTATATTTCAAACATGTTTGCTTCTAAACATGAACGTCACTACGTTTGGGAAAGAGCGCTTGGAGCTGAGCCCACTGGTTGATGGGGGTGCAAATGGCGCTGAATGAATCTGGCCTAGAATTCAAAGCGAGGGGAGCAAAGCGTGCTTGAACAATGCTGTTGCCTTTCGCCCTTTCAGTGGCTTGAGGCGGTTGGTGGGGGCCACTTCCGAGCCGGTTGGGGCGGGGCAGCACGGTACAATTGGGTTGGGTGACGGTGAGGCATTTTGGCGGCTGACTGCACGCCGAGCCGTTTCGGACAAATGGGGGGACGTTTCGGACGACAGCAAAGCAACGAAAAAACAAAATCAATAAACGTGCTGCTTCTGTATGGGCAGATCGGGAACCTCGGGGAACCTTCTTTGTCGATGGCAATCGGACACTCCCGAACAAAATGGGCAGTAAAACCTCTTTCTTCCACCTTCACCCTCACCTCCACAACAGCATGGTTCTGTAAATAGGAATAAATTCGTGCTAAGTTCAGAATCACACCTCAGAACTGGAGCTCACACGGTGTACAATGATTTCTTCCATTGCCCTTTTTTTATACTGTATCAGAGGCGTGCTGCGCGTACAATGCCGTTTCATCAAACTGCATCGTCCAGGTCAGACATGAACAGATGCTTTCCAGCAACAAAGTTGATTGCAGCGAACAGCGAATCCGCCACCCAGTCACGTGTACAGCCTCGGGCGCATCTGTGCAGAGGGCACCCGAAGGTGTGGCCCGTTGGATGGATGCATCCCGCTGAGATTTCAGGAACTGGGAGACACAATTCACACAGCTAAAATTGCATTCTACGGCGGAGATTTTGAGATGCCCAAACCAGTGGATACTTTTTCAACATCCACGTCATTGACCCGTCACACCACAAAACATGAACTTCCAGTTTCATCGCGTGTTGTTGTGCCTCCAGTGGCGTGGATGTCCTCGTGCCCACCACACCACAGACTTGACACGTGTGCGGATGCCATGGCTTTCGTACAGTTTTCAACATTACGGCGACATCAGGTTGTACAATTCTCACGCATTCACAGTTCTTGGATCGTGGCTCAGGACGTTTCCACACGGTGGGAAGCGGTTTTCAATGGTTACCGTTTTGCAACGTGACGGAACGAAGTTGACCGCAGAGAGCGTACAAATAGTTGTACAACCTGACGTTGCTTGTTATGAGTTGTAGAGTGCGCAGGTTAACGAATAACGTGACTGTGATAGCAAGAACTGAGAATACAATGGGGCCGTTCGCCAGCACCATTATAGCAAAAAACGTCACACAGGATAACGACGGGATCAGGAAGGTGGGTCTCGCCTTCCTGATCCCGTCAGTTAGAGTTCGTTAACCTCCGTCAGCCTGGTCAGCCCGTGAAAAAAGTGCCGAGCCTCACCTACCGTCCAAACCAACAAACAAAGTGGGCGTCTGGCGAACGCCCACTTTTGTCCACCAAATATAACGGTTCGACGGCATTTGGAAGCGGGGACGAAACTTCGTCCCCAGGCAAAACACCATCCCCTAGCCATGCCATCGCCATGCTGCGTTTTTCAAAGCACAGCGATGGCACAGCCGACGTATTGCTGTTCAGAGGGTAACCCTTAAACAAGCCTGCAGTTTGACAAAGGGGGCTTCGTATACCCCCCATTTTTCCCTCCCAAACACACCTTCGAAATGCCCCCTGCACAAAACTTGGTCGAAATTTGAGCAGGGGTTGTGTTTGAGTGGGGTGTGTTTTATTTGCGTTTTTAACCCACGTTGCGCAATTTTTGGTGAGCGGGCAGCACAAGGGTCAGTGAGGCTAAACTTTCGCGCCATTGGGGGGAAGGTGGGGATGGACCTTCCCGATGCGGTTGCGAAATTTCGCCTTTCGGGCGCGCGTAGTTTCTCGGGCGGCATTTCGCCCAAACCTCGGAGGAGGGTTCCGCCCCCGTTTCCGGATGCGGTCGCGATGCCGATGCCATAGTTTTCTGTCAAAGAAACGATTTACTGGCGAACAGCACCAATGAAAGGCACGTGCTAATGTAGTGGCTAGCCTGGCTGGGAGGGAACCTCGGGCGAGCGAGGTTGGGTGCAGGTTTGGCGTGGGGAAATGCCGAAGGCGACGCGAGGAGCCTCGGCATCGTTGATGTCGGCCGAACGTGCGAAGTCCGAAAATCGGGTTGTACGCGAAGCAGTCAACTTTGATAAGAAATTCGGAAAAAATCCTTACACTACCCCCCCTCCCCCCCCCCCCCCCCCCCCCCCCCCCCTTAAGAAAGGTGGTCAATATTGTTGGAAACAAGTAATCTAACGCTTCTTGTGTGTCGTAACATCAGACTGTAAACGAGTCGAACCACAGCGCAGCAATGGCGAGTCGACCAAGGAGGTTCACAGAAAAGTAAGAGCCGGAGGTTACGCGAAGGTGAAAGGTCAGCGACCTTTGACTCGACAAATACAGCGCGACAGCAAGGACAAACAACTGACTCGATATTGAGCAGTTGCCCGAGTCGTCACTGTATCGAATCGCAACAGCAACAGTAAAACGGTTATTGCATCCTTTCATATTCCTTGTAATCTTATAAAAAGCTTGTATTACCTTCTGTAATCAATCTATCCAGGCCCTACGATATCATGAATTTTTTCCTGAATTTCCTGATTTTCAGGGATTTTTTTTTACCTACCCTGATTTTCCAGTGTTCAGCTTTCTGTGGGACTGATTTTTCAGCCTTTTCCTGCCAGATGACTCTGAACTTTCAGGTTTTTTTTTTTAAGGACACTGATTCCACTACGTTGTATTGAAACTGACACTGAATGCGATTCCTACACGTTCCGAGTGTAGTTGCCCGGAAGTACACGGAATCTCAGATTCCCGTGGTGTCAGCACTGCTTGGCGGTGACTACGAGACAATTTGCCCCGTGTTTTTTGTCTGACTTTGAGGGCTGCTTTGTTGGCGCGCCTGGTCAGATCATTGGCATTATATGGGTTGACCAATGACACAGCGATTCAACACAGCGATGCTGGCAAGCTGCGATGCGAGGGTTTCTGACCCATTTCTTGCACCTGTAGTCCTGTGGCGCGTTTTGTCTGGGCCGTGCTGACAAGCACTGATGCATCCACGCCGCCCAGCCGTGCTACCTGCCACCCAGGCTCGCATCCCTTTCTGCTCCGTGCTTCCTATTCGCGGGGGGTTTCCTCGCGTTCCTGCCTGGTGTAGAGGCAGTAAACCGTGTGGTTAGTAAAAACAGCATTTTTTCTTAGGGAACACTGATGCTTCAGGGTTTTTTTTTTTAAGTGACTCTGATTTTTCAGGCTTTTTTTCTAGGGGACACTGTCAATCAGGGATTCCACGCAGAGGGACCCTGATCCATGTACGTCCCTCAAAGTGAATCTGAGGGCCTGAATCTATCTTGCCTCACATACTAGCGCAAGGTGGTTCAAACCTTGTTATTAAACGCTCCCGCAATACAACATTTCTATTAAGAGTCTTAGCCTTGAAAGATCCTAAGGGCTTTTCTCAGCCCAACAAATATTCAGAACACGCCTGCGCCCAAGGTAGTCTGCAATAAGCGAGGAGGCGTCGAGCGAGGCGAACAGTACCCACGTGTCGTCTTCACTGTTTCGAGCAGTCCATCGGATGAGGAAGTCGACGAGGCGACCGGTTGCGTCAAGGCGGACACGATGGGCCAGTATCTTCGACGGGTCAAGTGTCGGCTCCGGGATTGGTCGTGCAGTTGGTGCAGCATTTTGCCGCGCGATGTCTGTCGTGGCCGGCACGAACTAGCGAAGCAGGCTGACGTGGAAAGCGTCATGTATGCGCCATTTGTCGGGTAGTCCATTAGAAACATGTGCACTGCCCATCAGTTCATTAGAATCTCGCATAGGCACAGAAAGATCTCAAATGCACTTCCCACAAAATAATTTTGTTCCATTCTAGTGCACAGGGGCAGGCCCCGTGCTAGGATTTGGGGCACCCTGAGGCCTCAGGGCACCTTTCCAGAATCTTAAAAAATGCCCTGATTTGTCAGGGCAATTTTTTAAAACCTTCCTGTACTAACAGGGCTTTTGCAGAAATTGATCCTGACCTGTTAGGGCAAAA